AGCCCCCCCCCCCCCACAGCGAGGCGCACTCACCTTCAACCACGAGAGCCGGCGTTAGTTTTTGCACACATGTCCAGATCCAGAGCGTGCCGACACGAACCGCTGTGCGTATGTTGCCCGCTTTGTTCATAAAATTGACATTTCCGGACGCATGATAGCCTGACGAAAAATATTTTCTAATCGCTAGGAGGTCCGAAAAATCTTGATTAAACTTACTGAAAAAAAAAAGAATATTTTTGCCGCCAAGAAGTATTTTTTTTTTTTTTTTAAATCAAGAATTTTGCTGCTTAATACAAGCTACTTTTTTGCTTAACCAAAGAATTATATTTCTTGTATCAAGAAAAAATCCGCTTAAATCAAGATAAAAAAAATTCTTGGCGGCAAATTCAAGAATTATCATGCTTGTGCCAAGCACCTTTTTTTCAGTGTATAACATGTATATAACATGGGAGCTGCCCATAAATTACGTAAGGTTTTTTTTATATTTTTGGATCCACCTGTAAAGCACCCGTTAAACACCCGTTGACCCTCTATATACACTGAAAAAAGTATCACGATCCCAACTGTACTCCCATCTGATTTTGGCGCCAGATATTAGAGTAGTTACACACGCCAGAGGTCTAGTTAATTCAGCTGAATGTGTGGTTGGATCAACCATACCTTTAGCTGTTGCCCTACCAGTCAGCATAAGTGTGGTTGGATTTAACATACCGCTAGCTGGTGTTCGCACATTTCTAGCCAGTGTAACTACTCTTTCGCATGGCAGATGCCAAAATTAGCTGGAAGTCTAGTTGAGATTGTGACTTTTTCTTCTCAGTGTAATTACGCAAAGCTGGCCTAATCCTTGGGGTTGAATTTTGTCGGTCCTTTCACCGTGCTTAAATATACTTAGGACGTACTTCAGATTGACCCGTGGTGCGGTTTAGACTTGTCGATAGATGTTGCATTCCCGTGTGAAAGAACCGACAAAATTCGGCCCCTAGTGAATTCAGTTCAGTGGACACTGACTTAAGAAGTATGGCAAATTCCACGCGCAAATTCCAAGTAATCCAAGTTCCATCATAAGTGAGAAAAAAACACTGAGAAGTGGCCCGAATACTGCATGTTACAAGGTGGAGAAATGGTGTTGGGTCCACACCATTTCGCGGGGAAATCAAAGCCAAGAAGTTCCAAAAATTGTTATTAGAGTCAAAAATTGATTTTTGAGAGTGGACTCAGCACCATTTCTCCACCTTGTTCCGTCATAAGTCTACTCGATTTTTGATAGATAGATACTATAGGATAAGGCTAACCAGAAATCTGGTAGAGAGTGGACAATTATGGTGAATGCGATTAGTGCTACGGTATTTTCTACCATAGACTTTCTTGGTGATTACCATCACACTCATATCACTATATCATTCTCAAACCATACTTTTTGTCAATGCAGGATTATTAGCTGGGTAATACTTATAGTGCACTATTTATTCCAATAGCGCACGGATTATTTGTGTTGGATCGCGGGGCAAGTTGTTGGGTGACGATAAGGTGTGGGTGCGTTTGAGTGAGACACCGATGCCAAGAGAGGGGGGGAGGGGGTCGCGGTGCCCTCGCGACCCCCTGCCCGTCTCCAGACCCGATACTCACACCTCTCTCACCTGACGCCAGGGCCACTGATATTTTTATAGCGGCTGGGGAGCAAAACAAATGACCCAGTTTTGATTGATCTTCAACGTTGTCATATTTTCAAGAGTAACTTGCATAAATTAAATACCGGCATTTGCACGTCATTAAGCATTTTTTTAAAAAAACTTTGCATTCCTGCAGTTTTATTTTGCGCCGCATGATATACTTAAGTTTGTATTTTTAATCGTTTCAATGAATGCTAATGCTAAATTGACTACATTTTGCTATTTGGAACTATAAATTTTAGCCCGGTCTAAAAACAACGTATGTGCCATTAGTTTGCCAATGCACATGAGTGTTTTTCCAGAGGAGCCAGAATTTATAGTTCCAAATTGCAAAATACAGTCCAAATATTCTCTCAATTAGGCAGCATCTGACAAAAGAAACCGAAATTTAATGAAAGAAAATCGGACTGCTCCGAGTGATGGTAGACCTTCTAGAATTGATTACTGTAAGAAATATGTTCGTTCATTAAGTTCTAGCTTTAATGAACCGCATACTTTTTATTTGTTCATGCTCAGTTAAAAAAAGGAAGAAAAAATATGTTTAGATGGGAGTAAAATCCAAATTGAGACGACGATCCGAATATTCCATGAATCAGCCAGAGAATAGAATCTCTATCGTCAGAAAATTGATTCTCTCTCAACAGCATGTAAAATGCAACTCGAATTCTGTGTGGGTTTGGTGATTGATGTTTAAAAAAATATCAGGCTCACGTTCTTAGCGGCTCTTTGTTATTCTAAGATTCCGCAAAAGTTTCGATACGCTCGGCTCAAATGAAATCATCTGATGACAAGAAATGCAAATTTTACAATTTTTTTAAATAAAAAAGTAAATGTGAAGCATGATCATCACGCCACGCGTTTACTATATTCCATTTGCATCGTCTCTCTCAGCTGCTTGATCCATTTGATTTTGATGATTTGACTATTTACTTCGTTCCGCACTAAAATATATATATAGTGAACCTCATCAAGGGTTTATTCTGAATCCAGCTAAGGCAGGTATAATGGAGGTTTAAGTTCATCATTTTTTTTAACCGGTAAAAATTTAATCTTCTAGCCCGGCTATGACACTATGTAAGCCGAATGTATAGGATTCCACAAGTCATAACTCTGAATACAAAAGGACTCAATTATACATAACTAGGGCAAAAATGAATATTTGAGGGACTTGGAGGACAAGGCGCATAAGTGCAGTTTTTGATATTTCGAGAAAAACGTGTTTAAAATTTATAAATTATTCGAAGCAATTTTATTTATGTAAAATTTATTTTGTATAATCGATTTTTGATTTTGATGGCGGGACGAAGGCTCAAACTCACATGTTGATACTTAAAAATTGGATTTTACCAGCGAATTTTCCTCACAATTTATTTCAAAACTAGATTCAGTAAAAGCACCAATATCCCAATTTGTTTTCGAAAACTGCATTTATGCGCCTCCTCCAAGCACCTCATTGAGGAGTCAGAGAGCCGTAAGTAATGATTTTACTCTGAAAAAATTAAAAAATATAAAACGTTGTAATGACTATCCATCATTTTTGCCGCAGGGCGTTATTATTTTGTTAAACAAATGATCCTCTTACGTCTAGTCTAAACGAAGGTTCTAACACCTGATGCATGACCCGACCGATCATGACTTTCAGGGTCAAACCCAGCCCAAAAGAGTCCTCACACAAGGATCTGTGCCATAATCTCTTCTCCTCTATACGTATAAGTTTTCTATTCGACGTTTCCTTCCTGGACGCGCGACGCGTTTCGCAAGACTGACATGTTACGGCTATCTGATTCGCGCGGTTCGCCGAATGTGGCCGGTCTCTTAGTCTATCGCAAAAATCTCGACGAGGTGGACCCAAACAAATTTCGCGCATAAATCAAATCTGAATAGAAGTGAGGTCGATATTTTGCAACGCGAATATTTGTCACCTTATTGTCTTCGGCCCCTACAATTTTGAACCAGATGGGAGGTCAATCGGTGATTTATTGACTTGTAAAGTTGTTGTTGTCAAGTTTCAATTAGGCGACATGTCAAAATATCATAATGATAAGGTGGAGGAATATATATCTTTGGAGAATTTTTCAAGTTTCAACGTATCTCCTGAACCGGTCCACTGAACACATGCACATGTACTTATACACACCTCTCAATTTCTGTGGTGCTTTTTAATCGGAAAGACGAAGACGGAAAAAAACGGAAGAATAAAAACATTGGAAGAGTGGGAAGGAGAGAGAAAGAGGAAGAGAGGGGTGGGGGTGACTACATTGTTTGTAGTTTTTGTTGTTTACAAAATCGATCAAAATGAATCTATATTGGGAGTAAAGAGATATCGAGATATTGAAAAACGTTTGCTGAAATAGTGAACTTTCTTTTAAGACACTTGGTTTAACGTACTCATTACGCTTTGAAGCATAACTTAGCTTTTTATTAACCCAAAACTCCCCTTGGGAACCCCAAAATATGAAACTGCAATATTTGAACACAAAACATTGCTTCGAGTCACATTGAACGGTTAATTTCCGCTGCGGATACCTACAACTTTAATTCAGGTTGCACATAAGGAGCATTTCTGGAAACCAAAAGCTGCAATGGCGTAATAAATTCAATTTTCGCCAAATATTTTAAAGGGAAACCAGTATTTTAGCAATATTTCTTCGGAATCTCATTTTTTGGATACTTTCGGTCTAGATTTGCCTCGCGGTTCTATTTGCAAATGTAAGAAGGTACCAATATCATATTTAACTCAAGGTTTTCAGAGTGGACTTAGTCTTTGGGAATTTAATGACTCCCGAGTATTTGATGAAAATTGAAAAATGAAATAATTAATCGTCAATACGGCACCAAAGTTCTGGAGACTGATCTGAAGAGGTCGCAGGTACATGACTGATCTCCTTTTGGCAGAGGCTTATCTTAATAAGTACATTCTTCTTCAGCTTAAAAGGTCACGCCAATTCGTGCTCTATTTGGCCCACAAAAATTCCGATCGTAGATAGGTTGTGTTTCTTTACATTGAGTGAAATGTAAGGTCAATTAACATGGGTTGATTCAAAATGGCTCTTTGATGAGACTTAGTTGGGTGTCAATCTTGAGACATGCGAAAGATATCTTCTTTTACACACACTTACATTTAATAAAAAAAACTCTTACGCAAGTACATCTTCAAACATATACGAGATCTCGTATTTATTATAAAATATATCGCGTTCGATACAATGACTGAGGTTATAAGTGAATAATTATTTTTGGTGTGTAATTTCTGAACCCATTCAAATTTTAAAATAACATTTGTACATTTGTTGAATATTCATTCACGAAGATTCTTCTTTTTGCTTCCAGATGATTCCACCGGACGTGAGATGGATATTTCCTCTTCTTTCTCTCGCTATCTCATCAATAAGTGAGTTCCTTTAGTCCAATATTTTAACATTTTTTTTTAGTTTTAATTATGTCTATTTTGTCAAAAAAAGTAATTGAATTGAACTTTTTTGGAAATTTAAAATGGAACATTGAAATTCAATGGAACATTTTTTGTTAATTTACCCATGCTCTTCATCTGTTCATTGAGGAAGCACGGCACTCCAAGCTTCAGAGCAAAACGAAGAAATTGTTTCATTTTGATCAGTAGAGACTTCCAGTAAGTACTTCGCATTGGAATTCTGCCGTGCCAAAGAAAAGCGTCCTATGAGCCTTCGGACGTTCGTACGGAGCCAAGTCTCCTTCGATAAAGGTGTCCGGTCAGTTCGTCGCCACCGATTCCCCGCCGGACAATTCCCCGCGGAAAATTCCTCGCGTGGACAATTCGTCGCGGGACTATTCATCGCTGCCCAGTTTCCCGCGTGGCAACTTCATCACCAGGACAATTCCCCGCGTTTGATCATCATTAGCAATATTTTTTTCAGTAGTTATAAACAAAATTTACCTTCATACTTAATTAGGCTCCGGACTGACCAAAGAATCAACCACAAATATCAGAGATGGTTGTATTCTTGGGGCGTGTTTAAAAATTTTGATTATAATGCTGACTTAAAATATTAAGTAAAACTTACATACCCAAAATACAGTATCAGATTTATTTTGCGAGGAAAGCTCCATAATCTTAAAGGAAGCCTGTCATTCTTAATGTGTTGGAGCGCCTTCAATTTTGTATTATACTGTGCAACGCCTGTGTTGTAAAATAGCTGCTTGAGGCGCCGTGCTGCGGCTGGCGAGGGCGACTAGCGCATTGGCGCCTTCAAACCTAACAGGGATACTTCACGCATTGCGCAATGCGTGAAGTATCCCCGTTAGGTTTGTAGGCGCCAGTGCACGTTTCGCGCTGGCTCGAGTTGTGGAGTCAGCGTTCTTCAACTCATGATTTTGAAATGTTTTTCACGGATTATTCTCATTTAAATTGATGGGGGAAGTAAAATATGTATTAAAGAAAAATATAAAGTGAAATTCGTAAATATTAAGGTGGTTCCGTGTCAAATTTAATGATTTACAAAGCACTTTAATTTTTTCTTTTATATTTTTTGCTCTTACTGTGCTGCAGTATGGTGCACGCGGAAACCCTCAAATTTGGACGTATTTGACTCTAAATGATCGATGTACAAACGGGAAAATGTTGAATGTTTTTCTCCACCATTTTCAGACTATTTTTTAAGCAATTTCATCTAAAATGTCCGAAAATTTCATGGAAAAATATGCGTGAATGTCGTCGATAATGCAAGTTTCGTAAAGGGTTTAGCAAATCTCGAATGTTCATACGACGTTCTTCCTTAGCACGGCAGAATTATAATTGATAAAGATACGATTTATAATTGATATTTCATACAATTCTTGTTGTTATGAGAGTAATACTAATGATTGGTAACAGTTGAATAATTGTAATTTACGTCAATCAGAACACTGATAGAACCTATTTCGAAACTGAGTTACAATAATTAACCATTCTGGACTTGTATTCTCAACACGATTAAGGTGTAAATCAATTAGAGTCAAACGGTATTGTCTTTTAAGTGCAGCTGAATCGAGCACGCACCAAGGGGCTTAATAAGATGTGTTATCTTGATAAAAATTGCCCACATTTTATTTACCGCAATATCAATCAAATCTAAAAATCCAAGTTCAAATCCTACGTAAATTTCTGTACAAGGATCTTCAATTCCTTTGATTGATTGTTGAGCCTATTTGAAACGACGCACAGTGAATCAAGCCAATCAGAGAGGTCGAACATGGAATTTTTGACTAAAATTGCAAATTTTGATGTTCAGTATATCAAATTTCAAATTTGGAGGTGTCCTTCTGGAAGAAAATTTCACGAGGAAACCATTGGGGCCACTTTTAAGACCTCAAAGTTATGTTTGAACCGAGTTATGACCTTTTAAAGTTTCCAAATTTTGTTCGACCTTTCCCATTGACTCGATCCATTGTGCGAGGACGGACGGGGATTACCTTATGTGAAGAGCGACCACACCAAGAAAAGTGAGAAATATCGACTTCCTGTTGATATGCAATAAAAATCTAAGCGTGCGCGTTCACTGCCTACTCAAAATTTTAGTGGCGTGACGATGAAAAATATAGGAAGGAAAATGGACGAGTGACATTTATGCAAAACGGTCTATTCTGCAAGTTTTTAATTCAAGTGGGAGGTTGCCTATCCGCAAACTAGGATTTGCGACCACAATCAGTGGGAGAAAAATAAATTTTGACGGCTGAAATAGATAGATTTAACAATCCTACAGCTCTAATTCTATGAGAATCAGTTTTAGCGTTGGCGCTGATCATTGTATTTTCTGTCATTGCATTGGTGCCAATTTTTGTAGGAACTTCATAGTGAGATAAAAAGGAGACAGAAAATAGAATAGTGAAGACAGTGGTGATATCATTCGGCATGCAATCCAGAAGGAAATGTGTAAGGAAAACAATTTTCTTATGTATAATTTAATAATCCAACCCATGAAGCGGACAAAACTCAACTTTAAATTTTTTTTTTTTAAAGGTTTTTTTAAAATTTTTATTGTATTTCCGACTGAAAATGACTCAGTTTTGAGTCGAAACTTCTCGGTTTTTATTGATTGTGTATTTTAGCCTTATTTCCCCCTTGTTTTTCTACTAAAGTCGAACTTACAAGCTGATTTTAGTATTCATCCATTTTTCAACGTGTTCAGCGTGAATATTTGATGAGTAAGAATGATGTCGCTCATATTCGTAACTTGTCTATTGCAGTCTATTACCGGTTGGAATAACCGATTATGATCGATCATCGATCAAAAATATGTTAAAGACCATCGTCACAATCGCCTCACCTTCAATCGTAGGGAGATTCCACGTTATTGAGTCTGTATTCAAACAATGCGCCAAGAACCGGTTTCGATGATGAAAGGAGATGATCTTGAGACAGGCATGTCAGATTTCAAGAGATGACATTACCAATTTCAATGCATCTTTCAGTGCCACAAATATAGATACCAATAAAGTGTTTTTTGTCATGAGATTAAGTCTGGTTGCATCGGATGGAAAGTAGATTGGATTAAATGGACCGCATTCAGCAGAAAGGAACCAAGTCACATCAGCTATTGCCAAATTTAACTGCGCAATTTAATGTTTCACAAGAGAACGTTTAATGAGCCTCTTTTGAATATTTTAAGGACTTTGCTTCGTACTACAGAAAATTCACTAAATTTGCACCAAAATCCGCATAACTGTTTTTATGTAAAAAATTAAATTTTCTATATAATTAAATTTGGTAGTAGCTGGTGTGGCTTGTTTCTTTCCTGCTGAGTCCGGTCCAAATGGATGGTAGCGCGTCTAGCTGGTAAATTTTACTTTGACTTTGCCAGTTGGCTTTTCTTTTCTCATTCCATTCTCTAATTTATTCTCCAAAATGCGGCGGTATGGATTTTTCCACTCTTATGTTCAGATTTGATTTCTCCGCGTGGCGTTCTCTTTAAAAATTATTTAATCATAAGAAAAAGCGGCATTACAAAAATAATTTTTTCGATGGTTGCTCGCAAAAAAGCACGTGACAGCCTTTTCCTTCACTGGGGTCCTACGTATCAGTGCGTGATGAAGATCATATGCATTTGAAATATCACAGAGCATTATATCCAATGTTAAAAAATGCATTTCATTGAAACACATCAAAACTCAGATTATTATTTCCTAAAACGATCGATTATAAACATTTAAATTGAGTCCATTTATTTTAAAAACTTGTCAGTTTTAACGAAATTCGGTGGCTTAAAAAGTTTTTTCTAACAACTAAGTTCCTCCTATTTTCAGATGCCATTTGCCTAGACCCGAGGCCAACGAGGCTCTTACTATGTTACCAAGAAACTGCAACCCCTGAACTGAACCCTTGCTCATGCACCCACCTTGTTCACCACTTCACCGATATTAGGAGGATAGATCATCAATCTGGTAAGGATGCACCCCTCATACTAGAGTATGAAAATGCGCAATGTGAAGAAACAATGATTCAACGGCGTGATCGGAAAATAATTTCAATTTTCATTTTAATCACTATCAATCCTTCTCCAAAAATCCCCTCTCAAACAGAGTGTGCGAAAAGTGGAGACTAATAAACACAAAAAAATAAATGCCATCATCAGATTACTACTCACAAGAACAAATTAAATTTACAAAACACAGCAAAAAGAATCAACATAGTAAAACACAAAATTAATGTTACAAACAATTGTTAATTTTCTGCGTTTTTGTAAGTTGTGCCTGGATGATGGCGCTCGCCGAAATGCATGGGTATGTTAGATAAAATTGCCAACAATTTTGTAATTTCATGTATGTAGGCTAATCTTGTCAAGTCATATCTAATAGATGCAATAGTGCATAATCAAAAGAAAAAATCTTGCAGAAAAAAATTGCACGTTTCTTAAGTAATTTTAAGCAGTTTTTTTATCGCGATTCTCATAATTAATTTCCTTGATATATTTAAATTTTTTACATGGGAATAATATTGCAAGTAATGATGATTGCAATTCTACGAAGGTGAATCATTTTCACATTTTTTATTAAGAAGCAAATATAAATATACAGTATATTTTTTTTTTTTAAAAAAAAAAAAATAAAACAGTTGTTGACTTTTGAATTCTAAAATGATACTTCTAAACAATATTGTTTTCTTTTAGGGTTCTTAAAAAGTGGACAAAAACACAAAGAAAAGAACCCTGACTTGAAACTGATCGCGAGTATATCGGGGCTTGCTGACGACTTGCTGAAAGACAGGAACATCACCGCCCGAAAGCTCGCCACAGCTTTGGACGATGCTCAAGTGGACGGTGTTGAACTGAACATCAACTGGAATAACTCGCAAGTTCAAAAACAGCATCTCATCGATTTTGTCAAGGTTAGTATAAATATATATAATGAATTTGAAATGCTCGTTTAGTTTCATTGTGTGCGATGAACTCGGCCACAAAGCAGCAGAATTTGCAACGATTAGAGAAAAATTAAAAAGTGTCGCCTATAATTTGCCTTTCTAAGGCACCAAATCATAAAGTAAAAACTCGCTAAGTCGATCTACGGTTTAGACGAAATGCCGATCAAGTCGAATTTTTTGTCGGTCCCAATACAATTCGACTAGGTGAGCTTTCACTGTATTGTGTATGTAATGTATCCACGTTAGTTTTTCAAAAGGAAGTAGGATTTCAATATGTTGTGATAAGACAAAACCTGATTACGATAGCAAAGTTTAAAGTGCGAATTTAGGTATTTGAGATAAAATCAATGTAAACTTTATGGTCGAATCTTTCTGAAATAATTTTAACTTTGGTGTGCTTTCCTTTCTTCCGACTTCAGTCCGTTGAAAAAAAAGTTAATCCACTCCGAAAAAAATAATATGTTGTTTTAGCACATAGGATGTCAAAAATGTGTCTGGTGATCCCAAGATGCTGCTTTTACTGCCCTCGCAGTTTACTTTACATCCTATGAATGCAAATTCAACTGCGTGGGCAATCAAGATAGCGTCCTAGGATCATTAGACACTTTTTTGACATTCTAGGTGCTAAAACAGCATACCATTTTTTTCAGTGACTCTGTAATCGAAACCAAATCAAACAGAGAATAAACCCCTTAAAAAATCAACCAAAACCCTCTTTCATTCACCCTATCATTTTGATCAATTTTTCTCCGTATACGACCCGATCAAACAACTTAACGATCGAGTTAACGTCAGATTAGATCAGACAGCGAGGGAAGAGGCGGCCGGGCCACACAAAGAATCTTCTGCAATAATGATTGACGCGAAACCAATCAAGTAATCAATTGCCAAGAAGCCGAGCATTCGTTGGACTTGCAACAGCTGCTATCGTTTAAGGTGATGTTTCAAAACCACCTCGTCGCATGCCGCGGCCAGCGGCGCGTCGCGACGGACTTTGCAGCGACCGAGCCGGGGGCGCCAAGGAAAGTGTAAACAAATTAATGAGAAGCTCGCGAGCTAGCAAGACGACTACCTTCCCCGAAGCTCTCCATTTTTCTAAGTCAAACACCCGCGGGAACCTGGCACGGAGGCGCCAGAGCTTGGACCTCTCAGGGATTGACTCATGATCGTAGTCCTCGCCAACACTCATTCTTTGCCGCAAATAGCTCAATTTAGACCCATTTCCCGGAAAAATCTGATGGGATTATTAATCATGTATATGAGATTATATAGCTCTTCAATAATGGGGAGTGCGAAGGACGAGATGGACTAGGCCTTTAAATACAGGTATCATTCAGTCGTACGCGTTTCCGCATTCTTTCTCATTTAAGTCATTTTATTTGCGTTTAGATCATACAGCGTTTCGCGTTTACTGCATTTGAAATGTTTCACGATTAACACAGACAGTTTTTCTGCTTTAAACACGAAAAAAAGGAGGTAGGGGTTAAGTCCTAAGTGTTGGATGATATGGACATTCCCAATTAATTGTGGTAGTATCCCGATAAAGAAGGTTACTAACCCAAATGTTGCGGTGCTACCCCCAAAACGAGTTGCGGTGCTACCAAAATTAATTGGAAATTTCCGCACCATCCAACAAATTATTGTAGTAAAACAATTTAGGGGGATAAACCCTAACACTTTTCTCTTTCCGTGTCAATAGTTGACAGTTTAAATAGTTTTAACCAGCCCCAAGTATTGAGACCTAGTTTCGTTCGTCGACTTGGCCGGATTTACTTACTTGCCGCCCATGGGCCGCCCGTATTTTGCCGCCCCCTTCTCATTTGTTTTGAGACATCAATAAAAATCATCAAGTGAACGTGCCGGAGGGGAGAGGCGTATAAGACGCGTTTACTCGTGTTGGTCACATTTTTTGCGAAAGCCCTGTCAACACTACTAGCAAAAGTTCACGGAACTTGGCGCGAAAGTTAAGTTCCGTAAACCTATCTCTGTATGGACGAGGCCCTCCATTTATAAGAAATGAACCAAAACATTATGAAAGAACAAACATAAATGTGGTTTGATAATTTTAACTTCCGCCGCCGCGCCGCGCTGACCGCACTGTGTTTGGCGCAATGCGTGAAGTATTCCTACAGACCGCTGCTGCACGCACTGTCTTTGACGCAATGCGTGAAGTATTCATGCAGTCTTGTAGGCGCTATGCGTTTCGCGCTGCCCGCTGCTGACCGCAGCGACCGCACTGTCTTTGGCGCAATGCGTGAAGTATTCATGCAGTCTTGTAGGCGCTAATATGTGTTACATACCGACCGCCGCTCCGAGGGTTTCTCCTTTTCATCTCACGTTCTCGTCATCATTGCTCTCTGCGCCGCGCAGTTCCAGGCCAAATTCCGTGTTCGGTTTCTCTCTTAGTCTTAACTCGACTAATTAAAGGTGCTGTCTATTGTACCACAGAGGGACGACTCCCTGGGCGTCCCCTTCGTCTCTTCCCAGGAAGAACCCAATCAAACATCTTCTTAAGCAGCCCTCCTTCCGAAACGACGAAATTAGGGTGCAAAAGCACGGTCGCTTTCAAGGGAGGCCCACGGGCCGAATTGGCAACAATAGTCGTCGCGAACTAGATCACCGGTGGCCGAGAACAGGAGGCTGCGGAGTTAGTTGGCGGGGTCGGGACTCGCGGAGGAAGGCGCGATACGAGTTTGAATGAAGCGAGCCGCTCGAGCCAGTGGCCGGAGCCGGAGTTGCATGTTCGCGGGCGACGATTGCGCAATGTTTGCGTAGATGCGAGTCGTCTGCGATCTGCGCGTCCGCGCGTCCTACTGTCGGCCCGGCTGGAGGGCAAGGTCGTTGGACCTCGCCGGCCACCGAACTCCGGGCCAACGCTTCTAACGATCCGCTCAAATTCACACATTAAACGGACACACATTGTATTGCCGTCAAACGGTACTAAGTGCATTTATGACGCGAGCCCTATTATGCATATATTCTTATGGGTCTCAGGGCTCATGTCTCAATGCATATAGTTCCGTATGGCAGAAATACGTCCAAATATCCTCGAGACCCTGCATTCAAGTACTTAGAGTGCCCTCATGGGCATATAGTGTCTTTGTTCTTTCGGGTAATTGAATATTCGTCCATGAGCGGAACCAGGAACTTTTCATTNGGGGGGGGGGGGGGGGCACATCATCATCAGAGCGGGTCTGCGGGCTGATTGTTGAAATTGGTAGACGAAGCTACAGACAAAGATGATAAGAAGGATATAGAGGGATACTATTGGTGGAGGCGGGTGGTTGCGATGGACAAAGGAGGTAGGTACTAGATTAACTAACGCCAACCCACGAGAGAACCGATGGTTAGTCTATCATTTTCTCCCATGGTCTTCTATAAGGATCACCCAAATTAACCAATAAGATCGCTCCATTCTCTCTGTCTTCTTTGTCTATCGCTTTGTCTATCAATTTTAAAAATCAGCTTGCTGAAGGGAAATAGAAGGACAACCTACGGAAGGCGATCTAAAGGATTCCATCAGGTCCAGGAAGAGGGGCTCAGAGGACTCTCAGTTCCAGAGGAGGGTCCGTAAGGCCTCTCCGGGCAAACTCGTCTCATAGGCTTTTTCCAGGGTTATCCTAACCGAAAAACAATTTCAAGAGTAAAATATGCATAAACGCCGCTTTCCTAGCGCTCTTTGGCGCTCTGCGACACCCAGCCACCAAAGTCTCCTATCCTCCCAAAGCCCTTCAGGGAGTTGGCATTCCTTCATTTCTTCTGATGCCCCCTGAAATAATGTAAGCCAAATCCGAAAAATGGGCAGGTCCGTAATACTTCGTGCAGTAAAACTTTCGGGTGCCATAAAAACGTCAGAAGATAGGTTTCATTATTAAATACTCATTACTCATGCAGAAGACTTTGAAACGTCTTAATAGGTCGAAAATTAACCAGTAGATATTTACATCGTTTTTTATAAGCAATTAGTGATTGCAAACTTTCTGTTCGCTAAAAAAAATAAAATCAACGTTAGTCTACAATTGCTCATGCTCATTGAATGTAAACTTGGAGCCAGGTTCAATTCACGCAAATAACTCATGAAGAAAAGCTGGCACAAATGAGGCCATTTTTGGTTTTAGGTGCAAAAAATATATCGACGGTGAAATTACCAAACCACGTATCGACGGTGTAAGTCGGCAATCACATAACTCGTTTGCGGTGTCTGAAAATCTCCGTCTCTTTGTTATTTTTTTAAAGGAGAACAAATTGACATCATTCCTTGAAGTTTTTGCAGAATTATCTTCGTACAGAGAAGAAAAATCACGGCAGTTTTAAATAATTGTCGTTGAGTAGTTTTCCGTTTAGAAAAATAAAGTATGACAGGAGGACTGCGACGCGACGTCGCAAACCGAGCTATGTGATTGTCGACTTACACCGTCGGTATCTTCTTTCCCGTGTTTCAAAATCTCCGTTCCCTTTTTATTTCATTAAAGGAAAACAAATCATCATTATTCCTTGAAGTTTTCACATAATTTTCTTTGCACAGAGAAGATAAATCAAGGAGGTTTTAATGCATGGACGTTGAGTAGTTCCCATTTAAAAAACGAAGTATGCCAGGAGGTCTGCAACGTCAAAAACCAAGATGCGTGGTTTGGAGTTTCACCGATGATATGTATTATGCCCCATCAATCTTCTGGCAACCCTTCTTATGAACAAGAGGACGAATGTACGAGTGGTATGAACGGTGGCAAATTTTAATTTTTTTATATTTGAGTGGATGTTCCTCTTTGTGTATTTTCTGCCACTTAATTCCGAAAGCAATGACCCCGGGTTTTCCCGTCTCTTGTCACAGCTTGCCAAAAAAATTAAATTTTCTCCGAAAACCCCGCTGAGACTACATAAAAACCTGCCGGTATGGTACGAAACGGTTGTCATTTTCGGTAACATTTTTGACAAATACATCGAGCATGAAATTAAAAAAGAAAAAAAAAACCACACGATACATGATAGGACCAAAAATGTACAGGACCATGCCTTCATCATCAGATAAAGACAGGGTATTCTCAACCCCCCCCCCCCCAATTGTAGGTAAAAGGAGCTACGAATGCCTCACAGAGGACGAAAATGTTAAATATTGTACGAGACGCCTCAAGAAGACCCTAAAAATTAGTATCCACCATTCGAGGCTGTTTAATTTGCCTCTCTCACAGCATGACATTTCCTTGTCTACCTGATGATACGTGAATTAGTCGTAGCTGGGTTTGAATTTTTGATCAGGTCACATGAGGGCACCGCGGTCAAATCAGATAGAGAAAATTTCAGCTCCGCGGGAGTTATATCACACGTTGTACCGTGGGCTGTCCATGGTTGCTAAGTTTTGGTTAAAGGCTGTATTTTTTCGAATTCTAAAAAAAATGCGAAAATCAGAACAATTGCATGGCTCATTGCGAAAAAAATTGGAGTTCATGCGTAGATCACTTTGTTCTTATTTCTCTGTGCGGGGTGAAATACGAAGAGGTGATCCACTGCGCTGGCAACAAAGGGATCCAGCACTCGACAAATTACAATCACTGATAACTGAATTCATTGAACCAACCTGCAGAATATATTGGGACAGGTTGTAAAACAAACCGCTCTGAATAATGTCGTGCTAAGAACAACGCAGTGTGAACATTCGGATGTTGCCAAATTTCCTCTGATAAAATATTTTATTCGAGGTATGGAGATGTTGTATGTGTGAGGAATTTGCGATTTGACTGTTGATTCTGATGTAAAAGTTCGCGAGAAACACGATGGTGCCACTGGTTTTCTCTGAAATCATCTCCCAAGCTCAAAAAAGCTCTCAAGTTGAGGCCAAAATGGAAAGGATATCCCACCCTACCCTGAGAGTCCACGTCTACATCAAGACAAACTCTCCATGCACAGATAGGAAGCAAATACATTAGCAGGGTTGCCGTGTTTTCAGTTTTAGAGTCCCCGAATAAAGTGGCAGCCCTGTCAATGTATTTGCTCCCTATCTTTGCATAGAGAGTTTGTCTTGATGTAGAGGTGGACTCTTATAAAAAAATGTCGGATTTATAAAACAAAATTTACAAACGAGAAAAGGCGACAAAATCTCTCATTTCCTGAGAGTATAGTAATTTTTAATTTAAATCGTCTTTCAGTGATATAAGAGACAGCACGTTTTAGTAGTCGAGTTAAGAGAGAAACCAAACACGCAATTTGGCCTGGAACGGCGCGGCGCAGAGAGCAATGATGACGAGGACTTGAGATGAAAAGGAGAAGCCCTCGGCGCGGCGATCGGCATGTAACACATATTAGCGCCTACAAGACTGCACGAATACTTCACGCATTGCATCAAACACAAAGCGGTCAGCGTGAAACGCATGGCGCCTACGAGACTGTGAGAATACTTCACGCATTGTGCCAAACACGCGTGCGGTCTGCGCGGTGCGGCGGCGGAAGTTAAAATCATTAAACCACATTCATGTTTGTTATTTCATAATTTTTTTGTTCATTTCTTATGAATGAAAGGCCTTGTCCACACAGAGATAGGTTTACGAAACTTACACTTTCTGCTAGTAGTGTTGACAGGGCATTCCCAAAACATGTGTTCAACACGAGTAAATGCGTCTTATGCACCCTTTCCTACTGGCACGTTCACTTGATGGTTTTTATTGATGTTTCAATACGAATGAGAAGGAGGCGGCAAAATACAGGCGGCCCATGGGCGGCAAGTAGGTAAATCTGGCCCTGCTATATACATGAATGATTATGAAACTCACTGAGTCAAAAAGACTGAGTTGTAATAATGATTTCATTGCATTTTTTTTACAGAAACTGATTGACGAATTTGATGGGAAAACATCGAACCGAGTCAAAAGAAACTTTGATGTCACCAAGCAGCAAACTGATGACGCTACGACTGTCAAAAGGAACTATGATGTCATCGAGCACCAAACTGATGACGTCACAACTGCCTCGTGGACTAAATTAATGAAGGAAAAAGATTCAAAGGACTCAAATAGGTAAATATTTAACGAATCATCGATTTCATCGTTTCATTCATGGTGGTCCATCATTTATGATTTTCCAGGTGGAAATAGGAAATAAAATTGTCCAAATGCTGGAACATTATACTTGGCTTGAGATGCTAATTTTATTTTCAATTGATTACCGACACTGATCTACCAGAGTCTTCTTTGACGCCTCTAGTTCATTACTTGTTTTCAAGACATAAATCTGTGAAAATGTATGTTTTTTATTGTTATGAAAAATTTCAGCCCCCTGATCGATATACTCAGTTGAGATTTTTGACTGCGGAAACTTTCCACCATTATACCGACTGTATAGGTAACTTATGATTTTAGAGATTAAACATTTACTGAAATGCATCGGTACTGATTTTCCTCTAAATGTTTCTGATCTTATAAGCTGATGCGATACATGTTAACAAGTTTGCTAGCGCAGTTAACATAAAAGCAGCTCGTTTGTCAAACTAGGTAATGCTTCAGCAGGTCACTCAACAGTCAATAGGGAAGTAATTTCAAGAGTTGAGCGGTGAAGTTTTAGAGGGAGCAGTTTTTACCAGTTGAAGATGGTCGAGTATCTGCTTTTGATTCTGAAAGTATACTGTTTGATATTAAGTGGTCTTTATTTCCTTTAGGTTCGAGAAGACAACATTTGTTTCAGCAATTCGCAGAGTCTAAATCTTTATTTTTTCCTGCAGACTTCGATAAATGTGTCACGTGCAGGCATAGAATTCGTTGAGGAACTTTGACTGATACCCTCTCAATGCTCTCTTAACACTACTGACCTTGACGAGACCTCTATGAAACACAGTGGACGAAAGAAGCTCTCACGAACCTTTACTGACTACTGACAGGAACGCAAGACGAGTAAGCTTAACGCTATAAAATTACAATCTGAACAATAATATCCCTGCATCAGTGCGGAGCTTTGCAGTCAATACAATTGAGTCTCAGATTTCTCATGATTCCAACCGCAAGGAACGTTCTTGTTTTATGATTTTCAAACATTTCATGGTGTAAGAAAAACTTTGCGCTGCCACGCTGATTTTCCTTTTTGTATTAGGAATATTTATTTTTTAATTGTTTTGTTCTTTTCTTTGTTTGAGAGTAAGCGAATAATTTCCTTACTTCTTTACAATTTCTAGGAATTTATGATGTGTGTTTTCCGTTAAAGTAAAAAGGGGCCGTTAATACATTACGTAACGTTCTATAGGGGGTATAGAGGGTCGAGTAGAGCATCACGCCGCAACGTGGATAGAATCAATGGGAGAGGTTGGACAAGATTTAAAACTTTAAATGCGTAAATCTTATTATCAGTATGAAATGTTAATGTTTTAAAAAAAGGTTCCACTGGTTTTTTCGTCAAATTTCCCTCTTGAAACATCCCTTAAAATTTAAATTTTGACGAAATGAACATAAAAGTTTGCAGTTTTAGTCCAAAGAGGCATGTCCAAACTCTTCTATTGCCTTGCTCCACTGTGCGCCGTCTTGTTTATATGTCTTACAAGAAAAGGGGGTTAAAAATGCCTAAAAAGTGCGTTACGTAATTTTGAGTGCTCCGTAAGGTGGCAATAGAACTGCTAACAATTGTGATAGATTAATTTATGATGTTGACCTTGTGTGTTTGATTCCAGTTCGCAGTCCAGAGTTACTCGAGAGAGCTCAGACCACGAGGATGAATATTACGATGACAATGAAACAAATTCAGCCGCCTCGGAGGAAGAGAAAGATGACAATAAATCTGCTGAGGACACAAGATTAGATGATTCCTTCACAATTTTGGTTCGACTACCAAGCAGGCCACAAACTTTGGCTAAACGCTATGATCTCAAACAACTTAACAAGTACGTTATCATCAAGTTTGGATTTAATTGATCGAGTCAAATTAACTAAAAATTCATCCGGGATTCACAATAATTATGGCTTTCCATTGTCCTTAAAAATTTTTTCAGAGAGTAAACTTACTTTGGAAGTAAACTTACGGCGCGAATGAATTGAATTCTACGGGGAATTTTTCAGAGCAGCTAGAGAGCATTGTACCTAATTCAAAATGAGATTGTGGCTAGAGAACAAATTTCTCTCTTCTAATCTAATGAGTTTTACTTATCTATAAGTTTTACTGTTATGTACTGATTCCTTTTGATTAACCTTTTAACTACTGAGTTAGATTTTTACCCTGTGCTCCACAACCCTACGTTAGAAATGGCAAACATGACTATTTTTAGTTTTCTCACCCATATTCACCTATTTTTCTACCAAACAGCTTGATTTTTTGAAATGTTTAACAACAGAAGTGATAACAAACAGCTTGAAGTTTGTGTGCCTCATCTTCAAGTATGAACGAATGAAGATTAGTCACCAAAATTGAATTACTAGCGGCCAATTCTGTTTTAAATAAGAAACATCGAAAAAGAAGATTTTTAAGGCTCCAAGATGTTCTCGTCTGTAGGAGGCCAAAGGGTTAAGGGGAGGAAAAAATTCCAGATTGAAAGTGAATCTTTTTTTTTCTGGGAAGATTTTTTTGGCCTGTTTTTTTCTCCTGATTTCTTAGTAAAAATATTTATTTGCAAAGTACGAATGAGCACATTTCATGCGCTTTGCATAATGAAACGTTTATGTGGAGTACGCGAATTCTTCCTTTAATAAACTTTAATTCAGAGAATTCGGGAAAAAGTTTGCTAGAAAAACAGGTCAGCAGAAAAAACATTATCTCTCGATTGACTGTTAACTACAAGTATTTAGTAAAAGACTATTGAAACTTTGGAAAACATTCCTTAATACCCTCATCTGCCCCTCTAGTATTCGTATCAAATTCAGATACAATGCATCTACAGTTTGCCGCTCATCCGAAATATGAGAAATCTGTCATCGTACACCTTGAAAGATGCCTCATGGCAGACCGTTCTTTGCTGTTATTATCAAATGAAAAATTGAGATTCAGTATTAATATGAGGACCTTCTCATTAAGCCAAAGTATAAAAATATCATTTTTTGTCTTTGCAGGTATGTAGATTACTTTGTCCTGAACACACACAACATTTCGGACCCCGCAGAGGCCAATGTTACTCACCACCCAAGTCGACTTATGGGTATCAATGATGTACAAAATGCTGTAAGTATAATTAGAGGCAATAGACGTATCCTAAGCTAGCTCAGTGTAACAAAAATGTTGAAATAAAGTTGAGAATCAATGCATTAAAATTGCAATTTTTTACTATGAATTTTTTTACATCATTTGGTCTATAAATGCCAGCTTCAAACGATTGATAGAATAAGTTTTATGTATTAGAAAGATGAGCGATTTTCAATAGAAAGGAAAATTGCAATGTACTTGCGTACTGCAATGAATTTCAACCGTAATAGCCCCTTCAATTAGCCATGAGGCAACATACACAGCATTATGGCGCAGTAGCAGAGTACTTACCAATGAACATATATTTTACGTATCCCTCTCCTAATCTGCGGCAGGCATTAGATTTTTGCTGTAACAGGATACTGTAGCTGCTCACTTCGAAAATTTGAGAGAATAATTTTGAAAAAGGCAGCTCGGAGTAGGCTAATTTGTTTTTGGATAATTTTAACTTAAACACGAGATTGAGGGTAATTGTAAGATCATCCAAGGATTCACGGACAGTCGTACCCCTAAATAGTACCTCAAACAAAAGGTCAGTTTCCGCATTTCGTTCGAGTGGTCCCACATTAGGGATTCCGATAGGATTTTATGAGATGGACATCCTAAATTTTGGTGTTAATACAATGGATCCGTCTTTTGCTTAGAATTGAAAGCAAATTCAGTTTTAGTCGTTTTTATGCCAAAATGTATTTAATACATATTTCGATTATGTCACACCTAAAACGATATTTTTTGACGGTACATACGTTTTCAAAGTATCGCAAAGCAACACTTTCTAAGTCTTTGTATTTTAAGTCTAAGAACGGTTCTCAGAAGTTGAAGAAATAATGATAAAAAATTATTAAAATCAGAGGCAAAAAGAGATCTGTGACGGAGCCTGAGATATTTTTCATCCGAACACATCCGCATTAAAAGCGCCTTCAAATGTGAGAGATACCGCACGAGTTACTGACGTAGATTCTCCATTTCATCTTCTGCTCTTATCATATTAACTGTTGTTTTCAATGTACTTCTTTTGTCTGCAAGTTCCTTTCAAGATGAGAGTGTAATGCATATACTCTGTAATTTTGACATGTTTCTGTATTTAACGCATTTGAATGGGCTTTTTTATCCAGGATTCATTGATAGACTTGGTGACTGGTCTCGGAGCATCTCAAAACAAGATCGTTATTGCCGTCCCTAGCACTGCAACAAAATTCACCTTGAAAAATGCAACAAGCAACATGCCACAATCTCCATCAGTTGGAACCCCTGAGATTCTCACGCAGAAGCAAGTAAGTTTGAGTGTAAATTCCGTAAAATATTTTCACACAGGGTTTCTTACATTTCGGAAGAAACAAGAATATTTTTCCGCTGTAATTCAAATGTATTCTTTAAATCTGATGTAAATTAATGTGGCTTATTTGCCTGCTATGGTATGGTAAAAATTATTGCATCTCATTAGCTTACTACGGATGCAAATAAGTCTCTATGGTTGTCAAAATGTCGCCAGAAAAATAAAATAATCCTCTCATTTACTCAGTCAAGTATTTTTTTTTGTTCACGGAAAAACATGGTCTTGCTGATTGAACAATTAAATTGTTTAAATAAAAGTGTCCGTCATATTTCACTGTAGATTTTACTATGAAAGAATGCTAATGTAACCACGGGGTGATTAAATTAGCATTTTTTATTGTAAAATGTTCATCGAAACATGTCGGAACCTTTTTTTTTTTTTTTAACAATTTACCTGTTAAAACAGAAAGACTTTTTTTCCGTTTTGAATGTCGTAGGCATAGTTTAAGTGATTAATACATCCGCCATTCTTTGTATTTTATTTGGTATTAAAAAAAATTCAAACTGTGTATCTTCATGATTAGAATATAAGTTCTATTTTTGCATTTTATGCTGGTTTTTAATTCTCAATTATTACGATTGCGGGAGTCTTTGACATTCAAATGAACGAAGCGGAATTATCATTTCTTTTCTGTTTCAGCTATGTCGTCTCATGTCAAATGGAACTTGGACCGTAGAGCGAGATGAGGATCTCACTGCTCCTTACGCTTACAATAACGCAACCTGGGTTGCTTTCGACGACTCTACGAGTGCCTCAATCAAAGTAAGATTAAGAGCCTGAACATTCTTAGGTCTAGTAAGTACACTGTCTAACTAAATAAAGCGAGGACAAAGGATTGTGCAAAGCAAACACACGCCCGCAAAAGTTATTTGCCTTGAAGTTTGATCGACTTGTTAATTATTATCAGACATTATTTAATAAAAGAGATAATGCAAATGAGGTGCGGATTTAAATTTTACGGATTTTCATTCAAAAGTAGCATAGATTTCGTCTCAGCTGAGTTTCAAACTTAGCGCATGTGAGGTCATTGAAGAAATATTCACATTTTCACTGTCGACGCGTCCAATGCGTGATAGGAGGTGTTGATGAAAATAATAGTTTGCAAAGGAATGGGTTTCTAAATGCATTCTTGCATCATTTAGAATTTTCATACGTCAACGAATGGCAAGGAACCTTTCGTGTATGCTGACCTCTGCGATCAGGCGTCCGATTCAATTATTGTAATGAGACTGCATGCAATGGAACTGAACAACGGCGAGTGTTCCTACAGATACTCATGACTTGATCAGTAATCATAGTGACCAAATTTCATGAAAAATAAAATCTTGAAATTTTACGTGAAACATTTCATGAGTTTCCGAAATTTATGAAAAACATTGAAAAAATACGGGTTCATTTTCATGTTTCGCAAAATGAAAATATTGTGACTTTCTTCTGTTTTGTGTTTGAGTGCGGATTGCTTACTTCAGCCCCTGAAAGATATGAAATGTTTAGCAGCCTCGTGAAACTTCATGAAATATTTCACTGGAATTTCCGATCATTCATTTCCTTCTCATGTTCCATGCCACCCTGTCAGTAACTATTAAAACTCGACCGTATGTTTAATCGGCAAATAAACTTAGTCACTTAGGTTACCGGTGGCGTTGCTAGTTTTAAAGTTTGCATTACGTTACCTGCCGTTAGTACAATTAAAAAAAGCAGCTCATTGGTTTCTTCACCAGTTTATTACGCCTTTCATTTACTAGACTGACTGAAAAATAATTAATCACTTTTAAAATTACTGTAAGTTGAATGACACTGCACTGGTTGGATAAGTATCGATGAAAAAAAAAATTGATCATTTGAACCGAACGTTCGGTGTTTCACATCATCCAAAATATTAGGTTTCTCAAACTTTCGGTTCGTGTAACCAAACTTTCAGTATACCTGACCAAACTTAGTTTGTCAGTTCACTTTACCGCACAAGCTCGGTCACACGAACCGAAGGTTCGGTTTGATAAACCGAAAATTCGGTTCGACGAAACGCATAGGTTGGGAAGATACGGAACACCGAACTTTGGCACATAAGACCGAACTTTTTTTAAAGTAAGTAAAAGACCAAAATATTCGGTTTGTCAAACTTTCGGTGCGCGTAACCGAACGTTCGGCATTTATGACCAAACTTAATTCGTCAGTTCAATTTAACGCACAAATTCGGTCACACAAATCGAAATTTCGGTTTGATAAACCGAAAAATCAGTTTGACGTACTGCATTAGTTGGGATGATACGGAGCACTGAACTATGGTACACGACCGAACTTTTTTTCAGTGATAGTCCCACCCCAATGTCTACCTTTCATCCCCATTAGCGCGACCCTTTTGGAATCTTTTTTGTCTATAGGGTAAATATGTACTGCTCCGTGAACTGGCTGGAGTAGCTGTGATGAACATCGAAGCTGAAGACTGGAGCAATGATTGCACGCAACCTGGGCCGACAGTCTTATCTACACTCTACGACACATTGACCAACATCGGCCGAAAAACCAGGGCTGCGCAACTCTACAGCTTGCAAGAGCAGCTTCATCAAGCATCGCCATTTGCCTTTGCAGGTAAAGCTGTCACGTCTGTAGTAAAAACCTCCACGTCACTTGAAAAATTCCTTTGCTCTTTAGAAACAACGGAAGGAATAGTCAAAGAGCACACGGAGAAAAAAACTTCGTACGTGGGACCCGAAGTTGAGATCGTATGGATCTCTGAAGTTTTCTGGTCACGCATCCGAAAACTTGAGGTCACGCCGCGACTGATGTGTTTTTGAAGTAAGCACGTAATTAGTTGTTAATAATCATTGTAAATACTTTGTGCAATTATCGCTTGTTGGTAATGGTCTCGTCTGACACCTATGGTTATGACTCAACTGACGGTGACTCCCTTTGGAACTTTACAATTCGTTTTTTAGTGAGTAAACTTCCATCAATTCAGCGATTAATTGAAATTCTGAGCATATTTTTTTTCATGGTGATGCGTGGGTCAGGCGGTCAACCGTCTTAAATTTCGAAAGTCTTAAGATAACATTTTAGGCAAATTCTGCCATTTTAAATTTTTGAATATTAAAAATTCAAGTTGAGATTCAAGTTCCTCGTTAAAAAATACCCCCTGACACCTTGACGGTAACAGTCAAGTTTCATACATTAGTGCGCCTTCAATTACATTTGACACCGTGCAATACTTTCGTGGTGGAATAGTTGCATTGGCGCCTACAAACCTAACTGGGATACTTCAAGCATTGCGCAATGCGTGATGTATCCCTGTTAGGTTTGTAGGTGCCAATGCAACTATTCCACCACGAAAGTATTGCAGAGTATCAAATGTAATTGAAGGCGCATTAACGTATGAAAGTCAACTGTTACCGTTCACCACTGTTCAGAGTCCCGTTGATCCTACAGCATTGGGCTCCTGTTCGATCGATTTTTATGAAACATGGTGTTAGGAGGTATTTTTGACGAGTAATTTGAATCTTAACTCAGATTTTTAAAATTCATAAAGCCAAAATGGCAGAATTTGCCAAAAACGCTATCTCGGGACCTTCAAAATTTAAGACGGCTGACCTCTTGACCCATGCATCACCGTGAAAAAAATGCTCTTAATTTCAAAATCCCTCAATTGGTGGAAATTTACTTATTAAAAAACGAATGGGCTTCTTGCAAACTTTCGCTAGAGCAAAAATAAAAGTTGTTTCTATCAGTGAATGTCTCAATAATCATGATGAGCGCATTGGCAAAGATTCAAAAGCGCTCCTAATTTCACAATCTGCGTAAGAAATTTGCGTTTTTTGAGCTTCCTGCTTCAAAAACGATACTACGTCACAGGTGTACATTTCTGTAGATGAATCGTTCCATTCAACCTTTTGGCAATAGCGATATACCCAACATAGCTGACGCGCAAATTGCAATCTGGAGCACAAGGTCAACCAAAGCGGATCTTTATCAACGCGAAGAAATCGTGAATGTAAATACACTGGGATGTCAACAAATGGTTAGAATATCGTCCAGACACATGTGTTTTGTCGGATTGGTGTTGGCCATTTTGAATATTGTGTAGTATCCTAGTTCAGCTGCCGAAGCTCGGGCCAGACATCGAGGTACTTCGGTATATACCGGAGTACTTCAGATGTGTGACCCGAACCCTTCGGTATATACATCGAAGTACTTCAGATGTATGACCCGAACTTCGGCAGCTGGACCTCAAGTTTTTAGATACGTGATCCGAAAACTTCAGATTCAGAGATCCATATGACCTCAACTTCGGGTCCCACGCACGAATTTTTTTTCTACGTGCAGAAGTTGCTATCTCAGGGTGCTATCAAAGAGAATATGATCGCTTCTACTGTGTTGACTTCTACCAGTGAAACACATCGCAAAAGAAGCACCGGCCCTGGAAACCGTACTTACGGGCTGTATACACATCCTGTCCGCGTTCCAAGCTCAAAAGCCGGTAGTTTCGGGCGTAGCGTTCGGAGCAATCAAAACTACAGCTCCAGCACCCGTAACTTTTGGCCTCTGAGCCCGGAACGGACGGTATATCTATATAGCCCGTAACTTTTTTTTCAGTGCACGTAAACAAAGTCTAGCCTATGGCCGATCACAGGTCATCTCCTTAATCCTTTTTAAAAAGAAACGTGAGCTTGATGTCAAAAGCAAGATTAACCCAAGTATTAGACGCGTTATATCTTTCGGCGGCGGTCCGCATCTTTTGACCGCAAACCGTGAAATCTCATTTTCGATATTTAATTTTAAGAAAATAAAAACTCATTGGGTCGAATAATTATATACAGTCTAAATTTAAAATTAAAAAATAGGCAAATAATTGATTTTCAGCTGTTTATCAAAAACATAGTTTAAGGGGAAAAATCTTCCGGACCGGTCACGGTTTTCGCGTTCATGATTTCCTAGAAAAAAGACTAGACTAAAAAAGTCTAAACTTTAAAAAAACTTGATAATATATTGGACTGCATTTTGCAATTTGAAACTATGAATTCTGGCTCATCTAGAAAAACCACTCATGTGCATAGAGAAACGAATGGCACATACGTTGTTTTTAAACTGGGCCAGAATTTATAGTTCCAAATTGCAAAATGCAGTCCAATTGGTTGGTTTGCGCATTTTCAACAGAACGGTCGAAGTAAGATTACACTTTTTTTACGCAAATGGCGTGGATTCAAACTTCAAATTTTGTCTTTCAGCGGATGTTCAAGTATCTCCATACCGCGTAGTGCGTGTTGTCGATCGCGCTGGTGACATCCATGTTGTGCGGCGGCAGATCAAAACCGAATTCGAATGTTCCCGACAAGGATATTTCACGCATCCAAGCGGTTGCAACAGGTTAGCTAACTGTACAAATGCTCAATTACTCATCAAATAATTTACAAAATGAAATACAAAATATCGACGATGGAGTTTAACAAACGCGAAGCTCCGTTTGTGGTGCTACATATTTTCTGTCGTAATTTATTTTTTAAAAAGATTAAAATATTCAACGTCGATTCTAGAACACCTCCAGGATTTTTGCTCTCAGTGCGAAGAATATTCCACTATAAATTTGAGCAATAACTGGACTAAGTTTAGCAGAAAGGAACCAAGCCACATCTGCTAACGCCAAAATTTATTTGACCACTTAATTTTTTACAAGAGAACGTTTGTGCGGGTTCCTTTAAAAATTTTAAGGAATTTGCTTCGCTTTATGCAAAAACTTTACTGAGCTTCGCACAAAAATCCGCACAACCATTTTCATGTAAAAAATTAAATTTCCCAATGAAATGGCAAACGCTGTGGCCTTGGTTCCTTTCTACTTAACGTGGTCCGATTTTGGTTCGTCCTCTTGTGATTCAATATGACGGCTGCAAAAAAATGTTTGATATTTGAAGATTATGCACCTTCCGCGTCGATATATTACATTTCTATAGCTAAGTTCCAATATTTCCGTTGATATTTCATTATTCAAGACAGTATTATTTCATATTCTTCTTGAAGTTTTCGGAAAATATTATTGAAATGGTAGTGAAAAATCACACGAAATTTTGTGTAATAGCGGTGAAAGGTGTTCACCCAAAAAGAAAACTAATATGATGGAAAACTCGCAAGGCAGTAGACATAGGCAGAAGCAGTTTCAGATTGACTTCTAATATAGAATCGAGAATTCATCATATTAATCAAAGAAGGAAGACGCCGAAGGTTGTCATTCCACAGCCACAAGTAGAGGAATAGTCGAGATAAAATTCAAAATTGTCAAGGTGCTGCTATTAAATCGAAAAAGTTGATCAATTTTATCGAGTCCAACGGTTTGATCATCGCAGATTTTTTTTTGCGTCCAGAAAGGGGTAGGCAACACGCAATCTTTCAAAATAGTGTCATTTAATACCGTAAATGTTCTAATCATGTCAGCGCCTTGAATAAAAGGGATAGGCAACCTACGACCTCAACAACTTCCTTGTTATTAAATTACCTCTTATGGGTAACTTACCTGTATTAAAAAATTGCAATAATCTGACGATGCAATCGTCACGCACATCTATCGTTGCAATCTGGGTATGTTACTTCATAGAACCTGCATTAATCTGTACAAAATTTTAAACAATCATAACTTGTTACTTTCAATTGGATTTTTCCCTCAGATTTTACCGCTGTGTAAAGTTTAACCAATACGTTGAGGACTACACCGTATTTGAGTACGACTGTCCGGCCGGACTTGCATTTGATGAACGCTACGAAGTTTGCGTGTGGCCCGGGTCCTTACCCGATGGAGGAGCTTGTCAAGGTAAGCACCGTGGCTAAATTAAGGATGTTATTTTACAAAAATAATCACACAAAGTTATACAAAAAGCAAGTGAATAGCCGTTTTTGTAATTGTGAGTTTGCGTGTGATACCTACTCCATGTGAAAATTTCGACGCTTAGTATTGAGGATAGTCAATATTGAGTGTTCATTCGTTGACTATCCGTTCTTTTTGTACTATTCTAGTTGCATTGTGAAGATTATGATTACGTGTCAATCCCCTGCAGATTATTGGCCCATGAAACAAACTGGTATTTCATTGCTCCGCAAGATGCGGGGCATTGCGATAAAATTTATAGTGCGGGGCAATGAAACAAAATTTTTGCAATCCCCGCAGGAATGAAACAAAATTGTTTCACAGCCCCGCACCAAGAATTTTAATTTGAGTTGCATTTCCCCGCGCGCAGGCAATAGGCTGAGTTTTACGGGGCAATAATCTGCGGAGCATTGCTGTAATACCGAAGATTATTACAAAGCATGTAAATATCTTTGAGAATTTTCAGAGTCTCAAAGAAGTATACAATTTTTTTTAATGAAAATTGTTCATAATTCTATAAAATAACACATGTGAAGTGAGGGGGAAAAAAAGTCGGTGCCATTCTCCTAACGATCGTTTTGCAATCCAACCCTGAACCATACGTTTTTTGCAGGATCCAGTGAAATTGCTCCAGTCCCAAGGAGCAGATACATATGCCCTGCGGTCGAGGGCTACTATGCAGACCCAGAGAACTGTCGCTGGTTCTTCGCTTGCTTGGACCATTCACGGGATGGGTCTCCTTTGACTGCCTATGAATTCAGATGTCCATTCGGGCTTGTTTTCAACGAAGCTCAGTTGGTCTGCGACTGGCCCTGGAATGTACAAGGATGTGGTAAGCTGAAAACATTAGAAAATATCAACATTAATAGAACAGCGATGGTGCATTAAAAATCTTGCGGGTGTTTCAACATGAAACTGGATATTCTCATGATGGGATTAAAAGCTCCTACTAGCACAATTTTTCCTCAGATTCATAGGCAAACATATGTAGTGGGACACATACTAAAACTTCAAAACTGAGTGAAGTAGACGCTTTTTCCTGTTCTTGTTCGAAAGACAAAGCTGAGAGTTGTCTAAGATTATATGAATACATTGCCTAGTTTTGAAAATAGAGCATATTTCTCACTCCTTCTTGGACAGCCTATACATAGGCATGCTGCCGGTTACTTTGAAGTATTCAGGAAATATGCATTTTTGTACGGTATGCTGTGCAGCGCGTCCGTGGGAGTGATCAGGCGTGGTGTTAAAAACTTAAAAAACCTTTATTGTTATGATACAAGACATAGAAGTTTATAAGTGGTTTCATTTTTTTTTTGTAAATTTTCCCTCAAAGAACAACATTTGAACGTATTTTTGCTAAAAAGAACTATGTCGCACGAAAATCCAATGCACATAGTTTCTGTTAGCATAAATACGTTCATTTGAGCTTTATAGTGTGACGAAATCAACATAAAAATTTGCATTTTTCGTCATAAATTTTACGATCGACCGCTTTTAAAAGCTCGTTCCACTGATTGAGAGTGGCATGCAAATATTATTTGTAAGGGTAACTCCAAAATTGTCAGTGGATCTGCACGGAATCATACATTCTTGCCTTCAGGAGAAACACCGAAGAACGGGTTTGCACAATAACTCTAAGAGAGCAATTTTTTCCCCTACTCAATTCATTACACGTTTGAATTGTTTTTGATAGTTTTCCTCCCTCGTATAGAAGTAAAACACTGCAGCGCAAAAATATGAATGGAAATTTGTATACTTGCCATTAAAATAAGGAAGTATTTTAGCACTTTCTAATGCATTGTCTTCCTTTCATAGGTCAATCTGGGTATGCTGGTGCAAGATTAACGGTAGGAGATTTGTACGAGGGTCGCTTGCGTCCATCCTATGCATCCGTTCCAGATTACTATGTTTCTGGTGGTCGCATCCAAGGAGGAAACGCCGGAGTAGTTTTGGGTAAGAGAGGAAATTCAATCGAGAGAAATCTTATTAATAATTTTAAAAATACAAATAAACGAAGAAATTTCTCATTAACTTATTTAAATTACTTTAATTTTTTTTTCACGAGAGCATGAAAATAAGTCTCGCCGTTGAATATTTTCATTTTGAGAATCAATGAGCACTAGAATGATTTGAAAAAAAACTTAGAGCTCTCTATTTAGTTGAAGAAAAAACATTAATGGACCTCCTTTCATGCTCTTTGCTATCCTTAAGAATGAAAAATAATGATACACTTTTTGTTTCAAATCTTTATGTATGCTTGCATCTGGCTAACAGGCCGGCAACAAGAACCTAAGTAGCAGAGGTTGCAACAACTTGCAACAAAATCGTTAGATTCTTGCAACTAATAGATTGATGTGCAGATTGCCTACTCTCTCCCCCGAAGGAGCTATCATTGTTGGAACTAGTTCCAAATAAGTTGAAACATGTTTCAACTTCAGAGTATTGCTGGTTGCCTATCTTCAGATTTTAGACAACTTCAGTTCAGCAATTTTGCAATCTCAGCAGGTTGCAACTTTGTCTTCCGACCAGATCGCCGAAAATCGGCACTTATCGACCAAAAGTTGACCGAAAGTTGAAACTTTATTGCAACTAATACCAACATTGTTTCAACTTGTTGCAACTTTTATATTGAAAAATGCTACTTACTTGGGAAGGTATAAAATAAAATTTCCTTGTAGTTAAGTTTTTTCATACCGTTTATCATGGTTTAAACATTTAAAACGTCTCTGTTTTATTCTTTTTTAGGGTCCAATCTGGTTGGAATTCCTGGTGTGGGTCAATATGATGCTGCAGGATTTGCTTACTCAGCAGGTGGAAATTCCGGTATTCAGTATGAAGGTGGAAGCAGCAATCAATATTCTGAAGCCTTAAAAAGTGGTCAGTACGGAAGTGGAGCACAATTGTATTCTGGAAGTGGTGCTCAGTATTCAGCTGGTGGAGGCTCTCAGTACGCCGGTGTCAACGTGGGAGGCTACGGATCAGGTGGTTTACTATATTCATCACCTGGAAGCGCCCCGTATGTTGGTGGGTATGGGAAACTCTACGGTGCTAATGGAGTAGGCGCGAAACAGTCTTTGTACAATGCAGGAAACACAGTTCAATACGTAGGAGGAAGCGTGGGTTTGTATGCGTCAGATTACGTTCATGATAACAGTGGCGCTTACATTCATGATAATAGTGGTGATTATGTTCATGATAATAGTGGAGATTACGTACACAACGATAAGGGCTATGTTCATGATGAGAACCGTTACGTTCACCAGGAAGGCAAATACGGAAATGGAGGTCAGTACATTCATCAGGAGGGCAAATACGGAAACGGAGGTCAATACGTGCACCAGGACGGTAAATACGGAGACGGAGGTCAGTACATTCATCAATATTCTGCTGGTAGTGGCCAAATTGGGGGTTCCGCTGCTGGAGTGTACTCTGGCGGTGTCGGGTCTAGCAGTGGTGCTTACATCCACGATAATAGCGGAGCCTACGTCCATGATGATAAAGGATATGTTCATGATGATAAGGGATACGTTCATGAAAAAGAATCTTATGGAAGCGGAGGCCAGTACGTCGGTGAGAAAACTAGCGGAGCATATTCCGGTGGTGCAAGTTATTATGACGATGGTTCCGATGGGCAGTACGTCAAAATATCCGGATCAAAAGGTCAATACACAGGAAATGCAGCTAACGTGTACATTAATGCACCGTTGGCTCCAGGTCAATATACATCCGGAAAAGTTGGTTACACCGCATACAGTTCAGGTTACAGTAAAGACGCGACTTATCTAGGTGGCAATGCTCAGTATGCAAGTGGAAACAACGGCGCATACGTGCATGATAATAGCGGTGAATATAAACACGACTATAGTGGGGACTATGACCACAATGCAGGTGGGAAATATTCAGAGCACGGTGAAAATTATCTTTACAGCACCGGCTATTCAGGGCAGTTGAATACCGCAAACGTACAGGGTGGCGAAGCTTACCAAAACTACGCACAGAAAGGGTACTATGCAGGTTTTGCAAAGGGTACCCAACCGGCGGGTGCCATTAAAAGTGCATACAACTACAAGTTGCCTGTTGTCACGGTGACAACAGCAGCACCAGTTGCAATCTCCTCTATTCACCCAGCTGTTTCCACAGTGGCTGACTACGGTTCATACCATTCCGCTCAACCGGTGTCATATGTCACTCCAACACCCTACAAAGCTGAGTATGTGTCCACTCCAGCACCTCCTGTAGCACATTACAGCCCTGTTGTCTCCACTCCGGCACCTCCAGTTGTGCATTATAGTTCTGTGTCCACGCCAGCTCCTCCAGTTGCTCACTATAGCCCAGTGGTATCTGTCTCTACTCCTGCTCCCCCAGTTGCGCACTATAGCCCAGTGGTCTCTTACTCTACCCCAGCTCCTCCAGTTGCCCACTACAGCCCAGTGGTATCTGTCTCTACTCCAGCTCCTCCGACTGTATATCACACACCCTCGGTGTCCCCTGTTGTTCAGTACCACTTACCCTCAGTATCGACAGCTGCCACACCAGCTACTTACCATGAGATTTCTTCCTTCTCAACGCCTGCTCCTCCGATCGCGTACAATAGTGGTGTTCACGTAACCACCCCAGCACCTCCAGTTGTTTATAAAGCACCGACCACACCAGCGCCATCTGCAAACATATTCTTCCATGGTGGATCAATCTCTTCCACACCTAAAGTCTTACCAGTCTCTCCGATCGTCACACCAGCTCCTCCAGTAGTCCACTATAGTTCCTCGCCTGCTTACGATGCAGATTCGTATGTCTACAATAAAGCACCGGTATCTGGCGTAGCTTACTACTCTACACCGAGTCCTCCTGTCGTATACCAAAAGCCTGTTCAACCAGTAACGACAACTTACGTAGCCTCAACTCCTAAGCCAGTCACGTACTATCAGAGCCCGGCTATCACTCCAGCGCCAATTTATAAGAAGGTCACCGTGGTTCCGTCACCAGCACCCACATACATATCCAACACAGCAGCAGCATATGATTACGTTACCCCGACGCCACAGCCAGTAGTATTTAAGTCACCTGCACCTGTGAATTATAACCCTTACCATGTGGGTGTAACTTCCGTAACCTCAGTTCCGTATGTTAGTAATGTGACGCCTTGCAGTTTGAAGGAACATGCAAAATATTCTGAGCACGTGCATCTACCAATTGTCTCTATCACGCCATCTGTAGAGTATAATCGACCATCCTATGATAATGGATACTCATATCCAAAGCCAGCGATTCCATTTGTTCATGAGCCAGCTGTTCCAGTGACAGCTAAACCGGTTCTGTACCAATATAAACAACCAGCTCCTGTAGTACCTGTAACTCCCGCGCCAGAGGTAGTTCACTATCAGTCCATCATTCCCTCTCCTCCACCAGTCCGATTCCAGTACAAGCAGCCAATTGCTCCCGTTGTTCCTGTCACTCCCGCGCCTGAAGTTGTCCATTACCAATCAGTTACTCCCTCTCCCCCTCCTGTTCGTTATGAATACAAGCAACCAGTTGCCCCTGTAGTCCCTGTCACCCCTGCACCAGAAGTCGTCCACTACCAATCAGTGACTCCTTCACCTCCTCCCATCCGATACGAGTACAAGCAACCAGTCGTTCCCGTGGTTCCCGTGACTCCTGCACCTGAAGTCGTTCACTATCAGTCAGTTGCTCCCTCTCCTCCACCTGTTCGGTTCCAGTACAAGCAACCAGTCGCTCCTGTGATTCCCGTCACTCCCGCACCGGAGGTGGTTCATTACCAGCCCGTGAGACCAGCTCCACCACCAGTAAGATTCGAATACAAGCAACCAGTTGCCGTCACACCCGCTCCAGAGGTTATCCATTACCAATCTGTGACCCCATCCCCGCCTCCCGTGAGGTACGGATATAAGCAACCAGTTGCACCCATCGTCCCGGTGACACCTGCCCCTGAGATCATTCATTATGAATCTGTGACCCCAGCGCCCGCTCCAGCTAAGATTGAATACAAACAACCCGTAGTCCCAGTTGTTCCTTACTCTCCTCCGGTTGTTCACTACCAGCAACCGGCACCTCCTGCTCCTGCCAAAATTGCATATTCATACCAAGCTCCAGTTGTGCCAGTGAAACAGGTCACTGAAATACCTGCAGTTCATTATCATCCAGCACCATCTCCGTCACCGCCGTCCATCCAGTATCAATACTCTTACAAGCAACCAGTGGTCCCCGCTGTGCCAGTGACTCAAGATTACAAGCCAGTTGTAACGGTAACGACACCCACACCAGTCACTTACACTACTACTTCTGTGCCAATCACCCAATACACTTATCAGAAACCTGTGCAGCCAGTCGCACCTCTGGTTACGTACTCAGTCCCACGAAAACCAAGTTTCTCATACACCACGGTTGCTCCAGTCACTCCTGTGAAACAAGTATTCTATCAAGAGCCGGTTACTACCTTGGCGCCAATTTATAAACAGCAACCTGTTAATGCCTACGCATACGGTAAGCAAACTGACAATTTGTACTACAGCCACCAAGAAACCTATACATCGAAACCTGAAGTGAAGCAGCAATACTATCAAAGTCCACCCGTTTTCAGTTACACTTACAAAGCTCCTAGTAAGCCAGCATCTCCAGTGAGTGGTTACTATGTACAACAAGGTATCGCTGCCCAAGCGTATGCGCCTGTCGCGTACAATTACGAAAAAGTTGAGGTACCAAAATTAAAACCAATCGTTGTCGCACCGTACACACCTGCACCAACATTTGTCAGCGTCACAACTCCCAAGTGCGAGTCTCCTGCTGTTCATGTGACGTCATCACCGATTGCATACTACTCACCGACCACAACGTCAGCACCTCTGTCGACTGCGTCCGTTGATTACGGCACGTATAATCAGAAGGTTAACTACGGAACGAAAACAGCGTCAAAGGTGCAGTACACGGAAGAAAAACTACCAGAACAGTACTTGGTAGAAGTAACACCCCAGACCGAAACTCAATTTGAGACTGTCGGTGACGTTAACCGTGGATACAAAGCTACCGTTCATACCGGAAGCAACATATATTACAAATCCGGTTCCGGTTATTCTGACGAAAAAGCTTTTGAAAACTTCGAAGCCGACAACTATCCATCCGGCTATACTTCCACTACGGAGAGACCGACCGTGAAGCAAGTCTACTATTCACCTAAAGTAAAAATACCAGTCGTCACAACGACTTCAACTGAAGCATATGTTCCGGTTCAATACAGCACTGAATCCGATGACAAAGAGGACGAGTTGGATATCTCCAACGAGGACAATGACGACCATTTGGTCTCGCAATACGATTCACAATTCGGAAGCAAATCGACGGAATACACGACTGCCGTCAGCTCAACGGCTAATCTGCGAGAGGGTGATACTATCGTCGGTGTTGTGAAAGATGGCCGCAGTCGCTTCACAGGACAGAAGAAGAAGAAGGTCGTTGTCGTATCGAGATTGAGTGACTTCAACCCACTCCTTGTGAACAAACTTGGTGCTCAGTGCGACTGCACTCGCGTCGTAAGGAAAAGGCGCCCGCGACCAAAAGCCTCAACACAGGCATTGTTCGAACCGGTTCAAACTACAACCGTGTCCTACGAGCCGAGCTACTCACCCAGCTACGTTCAATCAGAATCCGAAGCTCCTGAAGCCCCAGTGGTTGAAATCAGGCCGATAATCCGTCGCAGAAAGATCCATAGGTCGACCACCACGACGGAAGCTTACTCCAACGACGTAGAGAACGATGAAACGACCAGGAGAGTCGTAGCTAGCAAGCAAAGAGTAGTTTTGAGAAACAAACCGGTTTATTCTGCACCACCGAGCGAGGAGCAGGAGTACAACAATGACCCGACGAACGCTAAGGAGAGTGAGGATCTGATGAACGGCCGCGTGGAGTGTAAGAGAGCCGGTCTGTTTAGGCACCCCAAGTACTGTAACAAGTTCTACTCTTGTGATTGGGACAAATGGAAGAAGAAGTTTACGCTCAACGTCATGAGCTGTCCCATCCATCTCGCGTACGACACCCAGCTCGGCGCCTGTAATTGGCCCTCAAAGGGACCCGCTTGCTCAGATGACAACCTATTGGTATAAACGTACAACGAACCATCAGCACAACTAAAGGCAAATACCTCCTCGTCGATATTCATTTTGTTTTGTATCCTAGGTATCCTATTCTGCCATGCTAAGGAAGAACGCCGTATGAACATTCAAGAGCTGGCAAATTTCCTTCGATAAAATATTTATTTGTGAAGAAAGTTTTGGATATTTTTGCTTGAAATTTTCAGGAACTTTAGGTGAAATTGCGAACAAGATTAGCCGAAAAATTAGGAGGAAAATATTTATAAGTTTACCGGGAAATTCGTGTTTTATCAGTCAAAATTTGGCAACGCCTGAAGTTTCAAACGGCGTTTTTCCTTAGCACGGCAGTATTGGAGACATTTTAGTTCCATGTTGTCTCAAAATGTGATCGAAATCAGCTTAAAAAAATTAGTCCGTGCATGCGAACATATGCGAAAGTGCCGATGTCTTTCAAAATATTATCATCCGCAAAGTAAGTTGTATTAGCCTTTACTTTCAAGAGTACGATTATTGAAATAGCTGATAAAATCTCTTTAGAAACTTCTGAATTTGCATAACTTTTCTGAAAATTTTAGAGGAAAAATTTCAATTTATCATCAAATTTTGAACTAAAATTTAATGGAACTTCGGTAGGTTCTGGATAAATTTCCCCAAAAATATGTTTTAGTATTTGAAGGGGAACAAAATTGAAAATTATTCGGCATCCTTTACCGTTGAGTAAGAACAATAATGAGCTTGAGAATGTGCAAATGTCCGTAATTCACTTGCAAATACTTTTAAATTCTTTCGAAAGGGTAGGGTCAGAGAGAAAGGTAGACCTTAGTATCATTATGAGGCCCAAGCCAATTTTTTTTCACGCCATAATTGAAAATTAGTTTTAGTTTTAATAAACTTTAAATTGCTCTCAAATTGTATGTTTGATCTTAAGTTTGTTCTGTAAATAACCGTATTTTATTTAATCATTTAAGCAGAGAGGACAAATGGAGCCATACTTTGTGTGTCCTAAAATTATTAGACTAAAGCTATTGACTAAATACTTTGTCTGACACTGTCTTAAAATGTCGCAGCCACATTTTAACGTATGCCTCGGATATCAGATATAATCATATTTACACAAAAGCTTCATTCGATACTCAAAGAGCTCCAGTCTTATAACCAGATTAATTTTGAGGAAATTTCGAAATAATGCGCACTTAAGAAAAAGAATGACTCTTATAAAATGAAAATCATCTTCAACCAAACTGCCATACATTAATTCTAGTCATTATTTGATGTTTTTCTATCGTTGTCACACAAAAAAATGGTTACAGTATTATGTAAGCAGGCGTATGAAGAAGTATAAAGGCATTAATATCTTACAGTATTTTTCCTCTATTTGACAATCCGTCAAAAAATAGGCTCCTTTCCCTCTCTTTCATCGAGGAGAAAACCATTCTGTACATAACTGACACATCAGATTCTACAAACTGTACACACTATACAGTCATATTTTTAAAACATATTCCTCTGTAAGCATCTCCGTTTATTAAAGAATGAAAATATGATCGTAGAAATACGTATTTTCTCTTTTACCTTTACCTTTTCTATTGGTCTAGCGTATTTTGTTGACTTTCATGCCTGAAATCATACAGTTAAAAATCTACAAAATGAAGAAGTTTCATTGGCAATAACAAGGCAATCACACACTCTTAATTATTAAATTTTCGTTCTGTACTGAAAAAAAAAGTTTGGTGAATCGAAACCAGTTAGGAGCAAATGAAGGTTTTGTTCTGAACACACAACCGAATTCTTCGATCTGCTCAACCAAACTGTTCGGTCCGCTGAACCGAACTTTAAGAATTTGTTTTAGTTCGGTTCAGCGGACCGAACAGTTTGGTTGAGCAGACCGAATAATTCGGTGGGTTTACCGAACAAATCTGATTCCATTTACTCCTAACTGGACCGGATTTACTGAACCTTTTTTTCAGTGATGGGTGTAGGAAAAGAGTCATAATTACTATAGCACACAGAGATTGAATTCACTTACCCTCATTTTTAATTGGAGAATATTTCTACTTTAACATTGAGAAATTGTGTATTTCATTGAAGCTGAATTAAAAGAAAAGGTTTGTAGAAAATAAGCTTATACGTCAGCTGATAATTCATTTTCTTTACAAACAAACCAAAATGCAAAATTCAGAGAGATGTTTGTCGCTTGGAGAAAGTGACGCTGCGATCTTTTGATACAGAGCTAAAAGTCCCGATAGCGAAGTTCAGTTCAAGTTCGACCGACGGATCGTGAAAGCATCCTTGCAAAAAAGGAGTACCTGCAATGAAGCTCTTGCAAGCAACGCAAAGATTTGCGATTGCTGAAAAAATGCTGGAAAATTGATGTTTCGGTTTTTTTTTTCATTTGTTGAATCCAAATTTTGTAGCCGTAGCTCAATATTTTGAAGAGGAGAACGTGAAAAATTGGGTCATCCTGGTTCAATCAAGCTGTGATGAATGACAATTCTTTCACTCACTAGCAGACATTCGATTAAATAAAGTATGCAAAGTTCCGCTATTACGCTTTACGCTTTTAGATCTCGCTACTCTCCGTCGTAAAATTAGCTTTGAGGCGTTGAAAATTCTTCTCGATCATAGTTTTCGAAAAGAAGACAATGAGCGTGATCAAGTGAGGAAATCAAACTAGGTCTTGAACGTTTGTCCAGTGACAAAATACCTATATGCATAATGTTTTTAAGATTGGTAAAAAAATTTTTCCTTCGAAATTTTCACTATTTTGGTAACATAGAGACGCTTTATCAGCCCCCCTCCCTTCATTATCCGCCATGCGTTACCTTCTCAGAGTAGGCAGTACAGTCAATTTTTAGACGTGCGCCCTTTTGATCGCTTGAGACTCTCAAGTTGAGAGACCTCAAAAATTGTGTTATTTTCAAAACGATAATTGATTAGGGTATATCCTGTTTTCGGCTGTGTTGCTCACGTAGCCCTTGAAGCACCACTACAAAAGTGACAAACGAAAAGAACACAATATGAAAATAGAGCTAATTGACAGACGGCGCAGAGATACAACTATTCGTGTTCGATGGATGTCTGTGTTGCATCTTCAAAATTGAAGGCGCGATGGCGCGAGCTGTGAATTTGCGATGATCCGCAGCTCCGCTTTAGGCTGCCAATGAGGTGCCGAGAGAAGTTAAGAAACGAAGCTCGATTATTACGGCTCTCCTTTTTAAGGCTGTGTTGCTCATACAGTCTTTAAAGCACCGCTAAAAATACGAATAAGACGAACCGAAACAAACACAGTATGGAAATAGAGCAAAGTAAAAGGAGGCGCATTGATGACGGCGCAGACATACAACTAATCGTACATGATGGATGCCCGTTTTGCATCTGCAAAATTAAAGGCGCGCTAGCGCATTGCGTAAACTCGCAATGCTCTTTCCTATGCTGCCAGTGAGGTATCGCTCCGGATTGAGAGAAAAAATAAAAATGCCCGATACGCGGCAATTAAGAAGAATAACGCCGTTTTATTTAATTGGAAAATGCAAGCACAGTTATTTCCCGTCTCCGTGATTAATGTCTCCTTCTTGGTGCTTTGGGACCACTTTTTGAAACTTGGAAGCATTCAAGCGGGCCAAATTCCCTCGTAAGAATTTTAAAATAGAAATTTGGAAAGACCACAATCACCTTCCACGCTGTTGCATCGCGGTTGATCATTAAACGGACGTATTTCTGCCATACAGAACTATGTGCATTAAGACATGAGCCCTGAGACCATTAAGAATATGTCCATAACAGGGGTCAAGTCATAATGAACATATAGTTCCGTCTGATAAAAACCGTCCAATATTCGTGCAATTTTACTCCGTGGCGTAAGTTTTTTTCTTTCAACCGAAAACTGACACCGAAACTGACAGTGCCTTCCACTGTCTTCGTCAGCATTACATACAAAAAAACGAGGACAAATGAAAAAAATCTGTTTGCGAGACTAGATGCGGCAATCAAAATATGCCCTTACGTCAGAGAAGTGGGAAGTTGAAGGAATATTCACACGGACCGGCTGCACTGCAGCAATGCATTGTGGGGAAACAGTCGCAAGGCCCCAGTTAAACGGTCAAATTACGAACAAACTGAATGGTAACTGAAGACTCGGAATCATGCCAGTGGCCAATCAGAGGGCCTCAAGTATAATCAATGACGTTTCAGCCGCCCTTCTGACGTAAGGGTGTAGCTCGATTCCTACGTAAGCCCTATTTTACATATAAAGCCATGCTCTCTGGGGCTCATGCGGAAATCAAAATATGGCCTTACGTCAGAGGAGCGGCGAATTGAAGGAATATTCACACGGACCGGCTGCACTGCAGCAAGACACTTAAGGTGATACAATTTAGCGGCCACTGACGAACTGACCGACTGACCGATCAACCCTTGAGTTGGTGATCTTAGCGATAAAGCGTGGAAGGGTTACAGAGAAACAGGAAATTCAATGTCGATGTCGCATCCGCTTCCGCAATCAGTCAGTGAGTCAGGAGTTAACGGCTATAGTCCGTTGCCTACACCAAAAAATCCTGCACTTTTTGATCGAAATATGCCGCTTTCATGGCTCATTGGTGGTGGCAAATTAATAAGAAATAAAATTTTACTCCTGGAAATTACCTTTCACGTAAAAAAAGTTGATAAAAATCGGACCGAAAGCAACCGAAAGACAGCGCTTTGAAAAAAACCAAAATGGCGGACTTTAACGGCCGTCATCTTGCTCCAGTCGGAAGCCTCAAGAGTGTTGCCGCTTCCAGAATTACTCCTGAAGGCACCACTGATGAGCACTGAAAGCGGCATATTCCAATCAAAAAGTGCAAGGTTTTTGCCATTTTCGGGTTGTAGGCAACGGACAACGGACTATTAGGGTGTTCCACTTTGAAGGTCACCTCCAAATTTTGATGATGGTACCCTCTAAACCGTTGATCCCTCTTATAAAAATACGATTTCGATTTTTATTTGGTATTTATGTGAAAATTAGCAGGTTGCATTTTTTGGTAAATCGTGACAACATAAGCAATCACTATGTTTACTTGGGATGTCAAATCCGTGACGTTCGTTCTATCTCTTTTTAATACTTTTTAATGGAAACCATCCATGGCATTTGTTGAAGGGTATGCGCCGAGCTAGATATGGTATTCATTTTGTTTCGTTTCGAAGGATGGCGGCAGCTGCTGCGTTTTTGTTTTGAAACTCAATTCCGTCACAGATAGCTCAAATTTGAATAGGGAAAACTAGGTTAAAAAAAATAAATAAAAAAAATATAAAAAAATGGGACCATGTAGGTTTTTAGATCCCAAAAAACGTCCGGAAATAAGAAATGCAACTTCCAAGGAAAATAATGAACCTAATTTTTCCACCTTTAAAAGTCCCCTACCATTTGAAATTTTCGTCCTTAAATTCGTTTTGAAACGAAGTTGGACACTTCTCATCCTTAAAAAGAGAATATTATTTTTCAGAAAAAATAAGTAAGAGTAAAGAGTGTTTTTGTTCCATCCGTAAATAGGTTCTGATATGATGGCGTTTATCAAATACTGGATAAGAAGGAAGGAATTGATAAGACTTCATTACATGTTTCAGACGTCATTTCAGTTTTGTCCGTATGACAGCAGTAAAATTTAACCTCAATAAGCAGTGTAAGTTATCGGTAATTGATTACAGGTAGGTAGCTGTTCCCCTGCAACATTTTTAGACTCGCTCATGAAATAAATCACCAAACATCGAGGGTTTCTTTGACACACTCTGAAGTACACAAAAATTTGTCGACTTTTATCGAACGAAAGATGGATTTAATATGTAAGAGTCCAAATATTGATGAGGACAAAAGGGGGCTGTTACCAAATCTTAGGTTCCGCCTCACGGCGGGGGTCGACGTAGCAGCCACCGCTAAAGTAGGTATCTCTGTCCGTGATTTATAATTACTTTTATAATAAGTGGTTATTTTGGGGAGAGAGATGAGGGATCAAGTATCCTGGTTTAAATGATTGGGTCAGTTGCGCTAGTCACAGAATCGTATTTACAGCTCGATTCTTGTAGATCAGCTAAAAATTAATAAGATCTGTCCAAACTGCAACATTCTAAGTTCAGTATTAACCGAGATATTGCCCTTTGAAAATTAGGGTTTTTGACTTAATTCATCGCGGTAGTGACACCCTTGGTATCTCTCACCTTGCTTTGGTCAGTCAATGTGACGCACATTTGCACTGGTCACTCAACGTGAAACTTGAGTGAAAGTAAGGTGGAAGAAACCTAGGGTGTCACTACCGCGATGGATGTCGTCTTAGAGCGAATTGTTCAAAGCGTGATATCTTGCACTGGAAAAAAAAACACATTGGATCTAGAGTCCAGACTCTTAAAAACATCGACAAGAAAAAATACTCTTGATTCAATCGGATTTAAGCTTAAATCAAGAACCAAGCCTCTTAATTTAAGCGGATTTTGTTTTGATTCAATAAGCAAAAATCCGATTGAATCAAGAGTACTTTTTCTTGTCAATGTTTTCAAGAGTCTGGACTCTAGATCCAATGTGTTTTTTTTCCAGTGTGGCTAATATTAAACGAAGAGAGTTGCTGTTTGGACAGATCTTACGTTTTTAGCTGATCTACAAGAATCAAACATAAGAACACGATTTTATGACCAGTGCATCTGACTTATTCTCAAAACATACGCGGAGAAAATATTGGGCAACATGAGAAATGGTCTCGTTTTGTAGCATAGTCACACCGAGAAAAAATATTGGTAGAATTTGTCATTCCTTTACTCTGTATCTTACACAACGTCAATTCAGAGTCAATTCTGCCAGAAGAAAGGTAAACGTTACCCATGCACCAGGACCAGGTAACCATTCCTCTGGTAGAATCGGCTTTGAATTCACGCTGTGTATAATACAGCGTGAAGGAATAGTAAATTCTACCGATCTTTTTTCTCGGTGCAGATTTTTTTACAGAGATGCTTGAATAATTGACTGAAGCTGTGCACTTGAATTTTCCCACAGAAAAACTCAATACTATCATGGCATCGAAGACATTTAAATGCGGAATAAAGGCCTCTAAATGTGCGAATTACGCTCGTATTACAAAGATGGATACCTTTTACGATAAAATAAAGAAATCGATTTTTCTCCGCTGCAAGGACCTCGGTCGTGGAACTTCAGCCCCTGTCGCATATGATACAGGATGGGTGGCTAGAATCCCGGACGTTGACTTGATGAACCCTGCGTTTCCATTATGCTCTCAGTGGTTGCGAGACCATCAAAATCAGGACGGAAGCTGGGGAGACTGTTCGCTAGCATGCAATGGAGTCATGAACACATTGTCCGCGGTCCTTGGCCTGTCGCAGTGGAAACATCCGGATGATGCATATAGGATAAAAAAAGGCATAAATGCAGTGCATAATTTAGCAGGACGGTTACCGTCGGAAGTAACACCGAGTTTTGACTTACTTATTGCACGCTTAATCGAAGAGGCGCTTGAGCTACGACTAGATTTTCCCTATGGAGACTTTGAAAGATTCCGTGAAAATGGTCGCAAAGAGCTGAAAAAAATAGAAAATATCTTGCTGACGAACCGACCTACTAAGCTTTGGGCCTTTTTGGAGGCATCAGGGAGTAAATTTAACCTGGATTTAGAGTACTACCGTCAAGAAATAGTAGATAACGGGCTCATAGGAGTTCAACCTTCGACAACGGCATTTTTATTACGGCAGGCACGGATGGAAGGTAGAAACTTTCCAGAGGCGGAATGGGTCCTCGAAAAGCTTGTCATAGACAATAATGGAGGGATCCCTCATGTGGTCTTTCCAGAGGAGTTCGAGATCATCTTCGGACTTCAATTCTTGTTCGCGGCTGGGATCGACTTCAGAAAAAATTTGGAACACGGTGTTACAAAGAGAGTTGTTGAAAAATGCATGCAAAAACTAAATTTATTTGATAGCGCCAGATTTTCTCTTGAAAGTATTTTCCCAGACGAATTTTGTGAAGCATCCTCTAGGGCGATGCTAAAACGATTCTTCAAAGAGGAGTTTGATGATGGATCTGGAACTACTCGAGAAAAGGCGGAGGCGGGGGATTTAACGACATGCTACGAACTGGCGGACTCTGATTGGTTAAAAGAGCGGATTTTTTTGGATCGTCTGACCGGAAAAGATTGCGCCCATAGGGATTCTATGATAAACCGCATTTTTGAATCAAAAGAAGTCGACAAAAAAGAGTTACTCCCGATAGACACTTATTCGGATCGTCCTCCGGTGGATCAGACCGAAAAAAATTCAAGCGAATTTCTTTCACCGAACAAAATTGATGGATCTCTTCTGCGTCCACTCAAGAATATTTCGAAATTTTTCAAAGCAATGCAACTTGTTCTTTATTCCCCTTCTCCATCAAACAGACACGACGTGGCTTGCCTGTTGACAAGCAGCCAAAACAAAGACGGAGGTTGGGGCAGCAAAGATTCATCAAACGGCGAGGAAACGGCATACGCAAGCTTGGCTCTTTTCAGTATGTTCCGCCAAAATGCGGATATTCTGAATAAAATTGATTTTCCAAAACTTGTGCAGTTCATGACTAATGTTGATGTGCCTCTGGCAAGGTGTTCCTGGTCATTTAAAGTGAATTTTCAATCACCAGCTTTGACTGAGCTGGCGTGGAGTACGGCTAAGTATGCCGTTTTTCAAATGGAGTCGCTCTACACGATGACTGTTATAGTGAACGAAGAGAAATTGGATACTTCTGAAATCGATATATTCGCCCCAACGCCAAATACAACTTTCTTGCCAATCTTCACCGGCGTTATGCTCCGGCTAAAACCTGAGCCTCAGCTCGAGGATATTGCAATCGACAAACAAGCTATGATGCAAGCTGTAACTGATGCCGTATTTGGGGGTGAGCTTCCGTCTACCTACATTCAAAGTTTAATCGAGGTTTCGTTAGTTTTTAGTTCTTGCATTCACCCTGTGAAATTGTCCATGTTGGAAAGGATGGTTGAAACTCTGCTGTGTACTGCAGTATTTATTCTGGATGATATAACCGACCTTCACTTGCCGGGGAAAAGGGGGTTTGAAGATTCGCAGAGAAACCTCTACAACCTGACAATTGACATTTTAGAGGGCAAAACGAGGGAGCAAAACTTGGAGGCTCCAGTCGATTTTCCAAATTCTGAATGCGTAGTAAAAATGCTATCGCATTTTCGACATTTTGCGGAACAGAGAGGCTCTGAGGTGAGCTATCTCGTTGAGGAATGGTTTAAAAACTTCGGCGAGGTAAGTATGGCTACTTACCGAGACATGTGTCGGAGCATCGCACCTACTACGGAGAGATACCTCCAGCTGCAATCCGTTGGAAGCGGCCTTATGTTTCTCACGGAGTTGAGTTGTCTTGTAGAGGGTTTGGCTGGCTCAAGAGAATTTAAAAAATCCACTGTTTGCAAAAAATATTTTGCAAGTGCTAACAAAGCTGCTAGATTGGGACTTGATATAGGTAGTGTTATGAAAGACGTAGGAGAATCGACCCTTGAAAACTATTGTTTAAGGCTGGAGAACGAATTTGGTATGTCGTTGAATGAATCTTTAGAGATGGCAACCAATGAATATAATAAAGAAGTCTTGAATATGTTTATGCTGAAGAAAATAATGCTCCAAGATTCGACACTGAAGGATGATAAAGAATTGGCCAAATACTTGCAGGTGCTAGAGAGTGTTTTGGACGGACTACTAGAATGGAGTTTCGATACCTCACGTTACAAAACTGAATGGACGTACACAATTACCAGGTGTGAGCATCAGAATCGGACACTGGAATATGTTCAAAAGCTTTGTTTTTCTCATGAACAACTCATCACTTACCACATCGAAAAAAAATCGTACTGTACATTGAGAGAAACGTTCGATCGTACATGAGCTGAGTGTTTAATGAACTGTATCTGCTGAAGTATAATTTGATATTTATATTTTTTTTGCCAGGTGAATAAATTTGTAAGGCAGGTAAAATATAAAAAAGTAGGCTTATAACAATTAATATTTTGTTCTATTATTTTTAAAATTGTTTAACAAAATAAGATCCTGTCCATTTCCTCCATCTAGATGAAACCACCTTGTAAGTAATCTGCACAGCTGCTTTAAGTCGTGCAAAGCTGATTTTCTGTGGGAGAGCACGGTCTATCTCAGAATAACGTATGGTTGGGAAAAACATGTCTTGTTTTTAGTTCCTTTTTTCCTATTCAATTTCATTAAAATATAGAAGTTGCGTTTTTTATGTTTAACTGATAATTTCATCCAAAATTTCACATTTTAAAATGCTAAAAAGTTCCTTCATTCGCCAATCGTTCACAACACCATGATTAAATTTTTTCTCTGGATATAAAATAAACTCAAAAATATCTCCAGCTTACTCCAGCAGCTCAGGCATAGAATAACACAATTATATTTTGATTGAGAAAGTATTTTTAAAAAAAGAAAACATTACAAAAAATGAGTTTTTGCGCTTGCTTTCAATCTCTTTTACTTACAAAATAATGAGTAGGTGCGCTAGTAATATTTGTAGCAGTTTTGGTAGTAGTAGTAGTAGTAGTAGTAGTAGTAGTAGTAGTAGTAGTAGTAGCAGTAGTAGTAGTGGTAGTAATGATTGTAGTGGTACTAGTGATAGTAGTGGTAATAGCAGTAGTGAAAGTAGATTTGGTAGCCGTAGCTAAAGTAAACGCAGTCAAGTAGCAGCAATATAGTAGCCGTTCATGCAGTAGTAAAATATTTTCATTTTTAAGGACTACGCACTCAAAATAAAAAAGAGTGTAACATACGTTACACAGAAAATAATATATGAATTAAAACAGGAGGATATAAGCAACCGCAAACGACTCGATGAACTCATGCTGCACTCTTTTGGCGGAGACCTGAAGATCGCAAAGTTCAGTAAGTTCAAAGCTTGGCCGATAGATCGCAAAAACAGTACTGGAATAATACATCATTACCTGCTATTTTCAACGATTTCCCTCAACAATAACGTCGATTTCGGTTATATTTGCAATATAAAACTGCTTATTGACTGATTTTAATTATAATTTAAACAGGCAACTTCTTTCTTGTGAATTCATTCAGAAAATCATGGCACACTCTTTCTCTGTGCAAAATTTCAAAGAGAAAAAGCGTCCTCTAATGTTTAAATTCGCATCATGACCAGCTAGTGCAGAGTAATACATGTGTTATTTCACGTCGGGTAGTAGGCAAAGCAATATTTGTGAAAACTGTTCTCTTTGTGACATATTGACTGACTACTGACCAGCCAACAATTTTTCGACACAAAGCAACGGTAAAATCGCCTGAAAATCTTCGGATAGGCAATATGACTGGCTAAAAACTTGATTATAGTCTACGGACCCCGCGGTAAGTTTAAAATTGACTTTATATAGTTGAACAAGGAAAATGATTCGCCTGTGCTGAGTTGAACAAACCTGATTAGAATGCGCTTCTCTCTGGTTTCAACTCAAGTCAAAGCAAAGTAATATATTTTTTTTACATCCTTAAAGCTTTATACAATTCAGGAAACTCAAAATTGTGTCATGGACATTTTTGTTATGACCCAAAACGGCACAACTATTTGAAAAGCACAGATCTCGTTTCGTAGAAAAATACATTTTTGTTTTAAGGCTTTGGCGAAGCAAATGGAGCAAGTAGAACCGAATTGCACTAATACATTTCGAACGAAACAAAACCATTACGAATAGTTTTTATACAACATCCAAATAATAAAAACATAATCAAAATATACAAGTATTCATGGGGTCTCCAGTGGAAATACACCCCCGATATTTTGAGACATTGTTTTTAAAAGGATCTTTAGGAGATTAAAGTGCATAGGTTAAACACACCCACGACTCATAGATTATTTCAAAGTTTGTCCCTTTCCAAAATAACCGTGCCCGCGGGAAATTTTACTGAAGTTACGTCAACTAGTAAAATTTGGCAATCAAATAATATCCGCATGTTTAAAGAAAAGTCATGATTAAAATAGATTAAATCCGTTTTTCATTTTTTAGTAACCGCAAAAGTGTTGTACACGCATTTTTCAAATTTTCATACCTGCATGATTGATTTCAACCCACGTTTTCTATATTAATCAAGAAAAAAAGGCCCGATTGATTGTTTTTTATTTTTCATGCAATCTTACCATATTTAAAAAAAAATGTTTACAATCTTGATCTTTTACATTTTCTATGTGTACAAAAGGTAGCCAACTAATGCCCGCTACGAAACTCTCGCCTCCCTTTTTGAATTGCGTTTGTTCAGCACCCATATCAAATTGTTTTGCATAATATAAAGTCAATTGTTTTTTTCAAATTTGAGCACTGCATGGAACGTATGGATCACACTTTAAGTATATAAGTACACCTGTATTTAGTTGAGTGAATGAAATTTTCAAAAAATGAATGAAGGTTACAAAATGCTGTAATCCTTAAGGGAATCGTCTCGGCTATATTTAGTAAAGGTTTAACCTTCGACGAATAGAAATATCTTGGAACTTCCAAAGTCAATAGATTCCCTTTATGTAATAGATTCTACCGTATTTCAACAAACAAACGTGATCAATCTTCATTCTCAGTTTGGATCGTGCTCAATTCTCTCACAGAAAACAAACTAAGTTTGCTCAGCCGTTTCGAATGAGTCACCAATAATCAATCATATCTTTTAGCGACGTCTGATTCTTTTGGAACGCCAAAAGGGCCACACACAAAATTACTATATTTACAGACATTTTTAAATAAGTAGTCTCAGTTTTTATGAATTAACCATTAGTTTCAATATTCAAGGAGCTTAAAGGCTAAGAACGTCACAGTATCTAATTTGGTATTTTGGTACTTGGACCAAAAGCACTAGGATTCAAAGGAACAATAGGATGAAATTTCTATCCTAAAAAAAAAAAAAAAAAATCAATGTTACATTACATCTTTGGTTCAGAGGGTGAAGAAACAATTAATTTCAAGTTAACGATGTCAGAGCTCAGGGTTGTTTCACAAACTTTTTGATGCAAGATACTTTCAAAAACATGAAATCCAACTAAAGTTATACAGAGGTTTGAAGTTTGCGGTTCAAAAAGCGTGCCTTCTTTGAAAAACTACGTAAATAAGCTATGAAACAACTCAAGTCTACCATGATCAGAGCGCAGAATTTTCAGGTTTTATTGCAAAGTACGCTCTTGATCGGCCCCAAAATGAAGGAAGCAGCTCGAAAAACTATTTCTTGAGACCTTCAAGAGAGTTTTCATGTAAAGTCATATACGTCCAATTTTGAGCGCTCGGTTTCGCGCACATCACGCTGCAGCACGGTGAAAGCACAAAAATAAAAGAAAAAAATTTAAGTGCTTTGGAAATCATTAAATTTGAGACAGAACCACCTTAGTTCATATAAAACACACATAATATTTTCCTTTAATACATATTTTCTTTATCAGGAATTTAAATGAGAAAAATACACGCAAAGTGTGCAAACATTCCAAAATCATGAGTTGAAAAACACTGACTCCGCGAGTTTAAATACTAGAGCCTAACAGAAGGGAGCGGCGTGTTGCCGCGACTGGCGCCTACAAACCTAAGTCGATACTTCGCGCATTGCGCAATGCTTGATGTATCCCTTTAGGTTTGTAGGCGCTGGCCGGCCGCCCATGGAGCCGCGGCGCGTCAAGCAACTTTTTCACCACAGAGGTGTTGCACAGTATCATACGAAATTGAAGGCGCTCCAACATATTAAGAATGACAGGCATCCTTTAAGAGCACGGAGCTTTTCCCACACAACTCAACATTAGATTTTTCAACATGACTCGACAAAAATAGCTGAAAATGTACATCGAAGACAAAGGCCTCTATTTCCGTGGACTGTTACATTTTAATTCTTAGGCCACGATTTTCAAGTATCTGCAGACGATTTTACCGTAGGTTTGGCGTTCTCTGACAGCTTATTATACAGCAGCTACGAATGAAGATAGAGAAGAAATCCAATTCTGCCATGTTAAGAAAAAACGCCGTATGAGCCTTCCGGCGTTGCCATATTTCCTTTAATAACCAACAAATTTACTGGGAAAATCCTGAATAATTTCCTTCCAATTTTGTTCCCAATTTAATCTAACATATCGGGAGATTTTAAGGAAAAATACGCATAACCTTCTCCGAAAATGCATGTTTTATCAGAGGAAATTTGGCAACTCTGGAATGTTCATACGGCGTTCTTCCTTATAGCACGGCAGGATTGAATCGAGTTTTAGTTATTAGATGGGAACCAGCCCACATAAAGTTAAAACTGAGAAGAAGAGGTTTTACGTTTTATTCATCCATCAGACTCAATATAAAAAATTAGCTTTGTAAACCCTCTCATCTTAACCTAATTTTTTTTCGTCCAGTTTGGCGAGGCATGAATATCGATTTTCGAGATTTCTTCATTTGATGCTATGAGACAGATTCGAAAATTGCAAACACCCTGTTAATCGATCCTTTCCTACAGGTTTAAATGACAGATTAATCGAACCGTCGGAAAGCACGTCACGGCACTGTTTGCGACTTTGAGTTTTTGGCAGGAGAAAATATACGTCCAGTGAAACGTAAAAATATTCCTGACTCGATTTTTTCGAAAATGTCGGTTGGATCCTTTTTAAAAAAACCCGGTCCAATCAAATGCATCGAAACGGTTATATTTATATCTTAATTAGAAACCAGGAGATGCACAGAACTCCACAGGGAAAGCATCGATGCAACGAAGACGATGGTGCCAGGGGAGGGGGGAGAGGGTTGCCGGGGAATGTGTCGCGACGGGGGGGGGGGGGGGGGGTTGGAGGGTTAAATTAATCACCTCGAAGACGCACTCTAATCCGAGGGTACTGGCGGGAAAGTCGCGGCAGAAATACGTCTCATTTATAAACATTCTGTACCCGAAAGTCGGGAACAAAAGAAAGCCCCCCGGCGCCACCCCCAGCGGCCCCTGGATTTATCGCTCCTTCCGCCGAAATCCCCCGCAATTTTTACGCCAATGACGGAT